CTGTGGTCTGCAGCTCCTGGCACTACCTCTCCCCCGCCACTCACCATTGGAACCGCTCCGCACAACACTCACCTGCTGGTTGGGCGTGAGGCTTGAGCAGTCGAGGTTGGGGTTGATGGTCGTGACATTTTTACTGAATTGCTTGAAGGCTTTTGCTGCCGTACTCACTCCTCCATCGCCCTTACCTGCTGCACTAATGCCCCCCATCCCCACCATTCGCCTCACCTGCTGGTTGAGCACCAGTGTTGGGCAGTCGAGGGTGGAGTTGATGGTCGTGACGCCGATGCCAAAGAGAGTGTTGGTATGTGGTCCTTCCCCCCCCCCTTCTCCCCCGCCCCTACTCACCACTGGAACCGCTCAGCACCACACTGACCTGCTGGTTGGGCGTGAGGGTTGAGCAGTCGAGGTTGGGGTTGATGGTCGTGAGGTCGATGCCAAAGCGGGTGTTGATGGCGTCACAGCTCCTTGCTGCTGCGTCCGCCTGGGTGAAACGGGGAGGGGGAGGGGGAGGGGGAGGGGGAGGGGGAGGGGGGTATGAAGCAAGCATGATGGTGAATGAATGCCAAAGAGGTTGTTGATGGCATCACAGCTCCGTGCTGCTGCGTCCGCCTGGCAGACAGGGGAGGAGGATGGACAGGGGAAGGGGTTTGGGGGGAGGGAGGGGAAGGGGAGGGGGAAGGGGAAAAGGAGCAAGCATTGATGGTCGTGACGCCGATACCAGCGGACCTGGGTGACATGTAACGCACGTGGGTGACATGTAACGCAACTGGGTGACATCTAACGCCCCTGGGTGACATGTAACGCACCTGGGTGACAGTGTAGCGCACGCGGCACACTTGAGCCGTAGAGGGGATGGAGATGTTGAGCACTTGACCCGCCTTGAGATTGTCGCAGTCCACTCCCTGAGGGATGAATGAAGGGGGTTGAGGATGGAGGGGATGGAGAGATTAAAGAGGGCAAAGGGATGGGGAAAGCGAGGAGGCATGGGGATGAGAGGTTGGGCAGCTGACCCGCCTTGAGATTGTCACAGTCCAATTTCTGATGGTGGGGGGTGGGGAGTGGTGGGGGGAGCGAATAGAGGAGGAAAAGGATAGGGATGGGGTAAGCAGGGCTGGAGGGGATAGAGGTGTTGAGCTGCTGACCCGCCTTGAGATCAGTTCACATCCTGGGGGATGCAAGGGGGGATGCAAGGGGGGATGCAAGGGGGGATGCAAGGGGGGATGCAAGGGGGGATGCAAGGGGGGATGCAAGGGGGGAGTCGGCGGAGAGGGGAGAATGGAGGGGGAAAGGGATAGAGAATGAAGGTGATGTGCGCCTGACCGGCCTTGAGATTGTCGCAGTCCACATCCTCGTGGTGGGGGGTTAAAATGGAGGGGTAGGAGAGAAATGAGCAGGGAAAGAGATAGGGGAAGTCAACTCAGTTCTCTTACCTCGTTATGCTGTAGAATCCGCTCTTCTCTTATTCCACACCTCTGCTCTTATTCCAGACCTCTGCTCATATCTCTCACCTTGTTCTGCTCCAAAAACTGCTCCTGGGAGAGGCCGATGAAGCCGTAGATGGAGCCACACGTCTCCCCGCCCTGCACTGTGTACGTGCCCTGCACCGCTGCTGCTGTGCTCCCAGAGATTTCTGCCACGGGGTGAGTGGAATGGTGTGGGACGGCTGGGATGTTGAACATAGGATTCTGAGAACTCTCACAACCGCTGCAGCACTGTGTACGTGCCCTGCACCGCTGCTGCTGGGCTCGTTGCCATCTCTGCCATGGGGTGTGTGAGAGAAGGTGTGCGGCACGTGGGATGTCATATATGGTGAAGTGAACGCATTCGAATGGATAGATACCGCTGCTGCTGGGCTCGTTGCCATCTCTGCCATGGGGTGTGTGAGAGAAGGTGTGCGGCACGTGGGATGTCATATATGGTGAAGTGAACGCATTCGAATGGATAGATACCGCTGCTGCTGGGCTCGTTGCCATCTCTGCCATGGGGTGTGTGAGAGAAGGTGTGCGGCACGTGGGATGTCATATATGGTGAAGTGAACGCATTCGAATGGATAGATACCGCTGCTGCTGGGCTCGTTGCCATCTCTGCCATGGGGTGTGTGAGAGAAGGTGTGCGGCACGTGGGATGTCATATATGGTGAAGTGAACGCATTCGAATGGATAGATACCGCTGCTGCTGGGCTCGTTGCCATCTCTGCCATGGGGTGTGTGAGAGAAGCTGTGCGGCACGTGGGATGTCATATATGGTGAAGTGAACGCATTCGAATGGATAGATACCGCTGCTGCTGGGCTCGTTGCCATCTCTGCCATGGGGTGTGTGAGAGAAGCTGTGCGGCACGTGGGATGTCATATATGGTGAAGTGAACGCATTCGAATGGATAGATACCGCTGCTGCTGGGCTCGTTGCCATCTCTGCCATGGGGTGTGTGAGAGAAGGTGTGCGGCACGTGGGATGTCATATATGGTGAAGTGAACGCATTCGAATGGATAGATACCGCTGCTGCTGGGCTCGTTGCCATCTCTGCCATGGGGTGTGTGAGAGAAGCTGTGCGGCACGTGGGATGTCATATATGGTGAAGTGAACGCATTCGAATGGATAGATACCGCTGCTGCTGGGCTCGTTGCCATCTCTGCCATGGGGTGTGTGAGAGAAGCTGTGCGGCACGTGGGATGTCATATATGGTGAAGTGAACGCATTCGAATGGATAGATACCGCTGCTGCTGGGCTCGTTGCCATCTCTGCCATGGGGTGTGTGAGAGAAGCTGTGCGGCACGTTAGTGCTTTAGAATGGATCAGGGACAGCAAGACAGAAAGAAAGAAAAGGAGAAGGGAAGGGAAGAGAAGAGGAAGAGAGAGGAGAGAAGAGGAGAGAAGAGGAGAGGAGAGGAGAGGAGAGAAGAGGAAAGGAGAGGAGAGGAGAGGAGAGGAGAGGAGAGAAGAGAAGAGGCCCACTCTCCCCTCCCAGCCCCACTCTCCCCTCCCAGCCCCACTCTCCCCTCCCAGCCCTACTCTCCCCTCCCTCCTCCAAAAACATACACCGTTCCCCCTAGCCTCACCAGGAACGCATGTAATTTGGCCGGAGGCGAGAGTGCTGGGCTTGTAGTTGGGCGGGCAGAGGCACGAGTAGCCGCCGTCGCCGCTGTTGATGCACTGCCCCACGACGCAGGGGTTGGTGGGTAGGACACTGCAGATTTCGACTGGAAAGGAAGGGTGAAAGGGAGAGAAGAATGAGAGAGGAGGGGGGGATTGTGAGAACCCCAAGGGACCGAAGCACCCCTTTTGAGTTGACTCAAAAGGGATCAAAGCATCCCAAGGGGCCGCAGCACCCCAGGAAACCCAAGGGGTGGAATCACCCATGCCATGACTCACCGATGGTGCAGGTGGGCGTGCCGTCGCGGTTGACAGCTGGCACCAGCAGGTCCGTGCACTGACACGTGTACTTGCCGTTGCCACTCTCGTCCGCCACACACGTGCCGCCCCCACAGGGTGACGTGCCGCAGGGGTCCGTGGTCGTGCGGGCTGGCGAGGGGAAGGGGTGGGGAGAGGGGCATGACGAGGGAGAAAGGGGAAACGGGAAAGGGGGAAACGGGAGAGGGGGAAATGGGAGGGTTAAAAGAGGGATTGGCTTCCATTGCACCATCAGAATAAGAAAGAACGAGAGAAAGAAAGAAACGGGACACAGCCCCTCTTTGAGGAGCCCCACTCACCGTTCACAACGGGGTAGAGCCCGCGGTTCACCAGCATGCCACACGTGCCGAACGAGTCCCCCTCCATGCGAATCCGCATGTACCCCTTCTCCCCCCAGTTGGGCCCCCAGCTGTTCTTCAGAATGAAGTAATTCTGTGCGCTGCACGGCACGACGTAGTTATACCCCACGGCCAGCATCACGTGGTCCAGCAGCCCCGTGTTGTTGGTGGCTGTGGCTGTCGCCCCCCATCCGTTGCCCATTGCCCCGCATGTCATCAACAACTTCTCCCACGGGGCTGTAGCAGTTCCAGCCCTGGTAAATGCCCTCCTGTGAGGGGCGGAGGGAGGGAGGGAGGCAGGGAGGGAGGGTGGGTGTGTGGGTGGGTGGGAAGGAGAGAGTGTGGTTCAATTTCTCTAAGTCTCGCCAGCGGCAGCAGCAGCAGCAGCAGCAGCAGCAGCGGCGGCGGTGGCACCAGCAGCAGCAGCAGCAGCAGCAGCGGCGGCGGCGGCGGCGGCGGCGGCGGCGGCGGCGGCGGCGGCGGCGGCGGCAGCAGCAGCAGCAGCAGCAGCAACACCCCAACTCACAGCGCAGTCGATAAAGTCTTGGGAGGAGGCGCGGATGATGACGATGACGGGCTGCTTCTGCAGCGCGAGAATGAGCCCCAGCGGCCCCGGCAGTGGCACCTGCTCGTACATCGCGATGTTGTACAAGTCCTGAGAGCGGTGGAGAGGGGTGAGGGGCGGTAGGGGAGGGAAGAGAAAGCACACAGTAAGGAAGAGGGAGCATTAGCCAGCCGCCAGCCCCAGCGGCCCCGGCAGTGGCACCTGCTCATACATCGCGATCGATTAATGTTGTACAAGTCCTGAGAGCGGTGGAGAGGGATGTGGGGCGGTGGTGAGGGGTGGTAGGGAAGAGAAAGCACACGGTAAGGAAGGGGGAGCATTGGCCAGCCACCAGCCCCGGCGGCCCCGGCAGTGGCACCTGCTGGTGCAGAGCAGAGCTGGGAGAGGAAGTGGGAAGTGGGAGCATCATACAATCCATTTAGGGGCAAGGGGCCTGGTAGCCATGCTGCACTGCCGGTAGACGCATCCCGTGCCAACTCACCGAGTTGGGATGCCTCAGAATCCCATCCCATCCCAACTCATCGAGATGGGATGCTTCCCAAAGCCTCAGAATTACTAGTTGACTACATGTCTTCTACTCTGCCCGTTTTTTCAAGCTCTACCTAGACTACCCCTAGTACACGGAGAATAGTCTTACTTCTTTCACTGAACATGCGAGATCTGTAGGCTTGCTGCGGTCGAAACTCTTCCTACTCTGGCAAGGGGCGAGGGGCTTGGTAGCCATGTTGCACTGCCGGTAGACGCATCCCATTCCAACTCACCGCGTCCTTCTTGACGCTGCACTTGCCGCTATCCCCCGTATACGCGTATTCCGCCTCGTCCTGCAGCCCGATCTTGGCGGCATACTGCAGAGCAGCCTCGGGGTACCCCCCCCGGCACGTGGCAGCGGCGCCCGTGCAGTCCAGCAGCTGCTGCACGGACAGGCGCATCCCGCTGGGGAACACGTCATCGTCCGTCTCTTTCAGCTTCGCATACGCTCCCTGCACCGCCCGCGCTGCCGCGTACGCCCAGCAGGAGCCTGGGCGCGGAGGAGGGGGGAAAAGGTTGGAGGTGGGGGGGATGGTGGGGGAGGCGAGGTTGCTGTGAAGACCGCGCTGCCGCGTACGCCCAGCAGGCGCCTGGGATAACGGGAGGGCGGATGGGAAGGGAGGTGGGGGTATTGTGGCATCTGAAGGGCGGTCAAGTAAGGTCAACACCAGAAAAAAAAAAAAAAAAAAAAAAAGTCAACCTCGGTCAACAGAAGTCAACGCCGGTCAACAGAAGTCAACACCGGTCAACAGCAGTCACTGCGGGTCAACAGCAGCCTACAGCACGCACCGCAGTTGCCCTGGTCGAACTCGTCGTCAGGCGTGAACAGCTTGCTGTGGTCTGCGCTGCGGCAGAAATTCCAGCAACCCAAGTCAACAGCAGTCAACTAAGGTCAACAGAACGCACCGCAGTTGCCCTGGTCGAACTCGTCGTCAGGCGTGAACAGCTTGCTGTGGTCCACATTCTTCTTGAAATCCCACGTGAGCTTCTGCGAGATTCGGTCGAGTGTGAGACCCACGGTGAGGTAGCGCGACACCGTGTTGAGATTCGGCTGCTTGGCGGGATCCGTGCTGGGAGGGGGGACGTAGCCCAGTCTGCGGTCTGGCGGTGGGAGGAGGGGAGGCGTTGGGAGAGAAGAGGGAGATAAGAGGGAGAGAAGAGGGATTGGTGCAAGCACACGCAGCTTTCGAGACGTCTCAAAATTAGAGGGAGATAAAAGGGAGATAAGAGGGAGAGAAGAGGGATTGCTGCCAGCACACGCAGCTTGGCGAGGGCCTTGGTGGTGGTGCGAGTGTAACCCAGACTGCGGTCTGGGGTTGACGTGATAAAAGAAGTGTTTTGAGGCATCTCAAAACACTTCTTTTATCACCTTGGTGGTGGGTGGGAGTGTAGGCCAGACTGCGGCCTGGGGGTGTGGGGGAGAAGAAGGGGGGGGGAGGGAAGAGTTGATGTGAGTGGGCGACCCGTAGCACCCATGCCGCGGCAGCAGGCTGCTCCAACCCCACCCACGCTAGCTTCCACCCGCATGCTGGCCTCGTGTCGCCCTCGTGTCAACCTCGTGTCAACCTCGTGTCAACCTCGCGCCACCCTCGTGCCGCCCTCCTGTTTCCTAACGCCTTCCTTCCCAAAGCACCTTACCACGTTCACAATCCCCGCCCCGGGCGGAAATTGTTTCCCCCCGTACAATGTACCTATAGGTTCTGCTACAAGCAATTTACTCCATATAGCTCCGTATCTACAATATAGCAAAACCTTTAAGTACATAGTACGGGGGGGAAACAATTTTGCGGGCCGCACACCCTTGAGAACCGTCAACGGTCAACCCATGCCCTTTACCCCATTCCACCGTGCTCCGTCCCTCATAGCGTGCGTGAATCTCACCAACAGTTGTAGTGTTCCCGCGCGCGCCGTTCCCCTTGCTAGATCCGCGTCCCTTCCCTCCGCCTCCCGCCGCCTGCTGAATCAGCTTCTGCACCCGCGCCTTCACCATCGCGAGCCACTTGCGCGCCGCCGCGGCGAACGCGTCTTTGGTTAAGTACGACGCGCGTTCGGGCGGCTTGTCGAGGCCCGTCAGGTCCGCGCTGCCCAGCAGCGGCGCGATGGCTTTAATCTCCGCGCGCGTCTTCGCGTCCACCGCCAGCGCCGCGAGGTCCGATGCCAACGCGCCAGCTGTCGCGTCGACAGTCGTCGCGGTGCGGGCGGAATTCGCGCTTGTCGTTGTATCAAGTGTGTCTGTAATGGGGCGGAGGATGCGGGCAGGGGGAAGGGACGGGGGAGGGGGCAATCAACAAGCGGCACAGGGTGGAGCCTGGGTTTCGCGCGATGCCACGTGTGACATCCCCTGGCATGCGCCGCAACTACCGGCGGTACCGCACAAAACTCGGTGGTGGATGTGATGACCAGACGGCGTCGCAGAGCGCCGACGGATGAATGTTGCCATGCGGGGCGGAAAAGAGCGCGCGGCTGCGCGCCGTTGGGAGACAAAAAGGGCGCTTGCCTATTCGCCGGCCAGCGGCGGCGGGGGCGACAGTGACGATCAGTAAGACTGCTATTTGTCGAAGCGTGTGGGCTGGAAACGCCGAGCCGCGACGATCCATCGTGTCAGAAGCCGCACAACCTCCCCGTGGTAGTCTTATCGCGCCGCTGTTGCACGGGATGCGCGAGCCTGGGTTACGGGATGCGTGGGCATGCAGACACGTCAGCAATCCCCGTGGCGGGAGGGAAATGCGGACGGGGAAGGAATGCACGCGGCCCGCGGGTGAGTCAGAACGTCGAGGAGATGTGGACTTCCGAAAAAGGACCTAGTACTATGTCTGGTTTACGCGACTTGTACTCATGCACAAGTTACGATTCGTAGCCGTGGCCTTGTGCGCAATTTATGCTTCTATGGCGGCTCGTTTCGCGCGGCGTGTGATGACAATTGCCGAGAGATAGAGTCGCGAAAGCGAAGGCTACAAAGTGGTGGCAGCTGTGGAACTCGAGAAGAGGTGGTACGCAATGACACAAACTCGATCGATGCGCGAATGCCAAGGAAGCCAAACAATGTGCGTCTCGATTTGTACGGTTTGCCTGCGTCTACTTTTCCCTGCCTATCATACGAAACTCGTTGCTTGCCACTCGAGCCGAGCCGTGTTGTACTTTGCATCTGTAGACTTCCGAAGGTCAAAACAGACCTCACTTCGCGGTGCGGATACTGTAATAAGTGGTGCGCCGTGCGCACTGTGCTTTGTGCGGTCTGCACCAGCAGAGCAGGGGGAGTAACAGCCGCGAGCTTTGCGGGATGGCATTGGATTGGGCGAATCCCCCGCAGGGACTCAGGTGGAAGAAATGCGACGAAAATAGTTGCCCCCAAGGCTCGCCCTGCGAGCGGGTTGCGCCAGGTGAATGCGCAGTCATCCACCGAGGGCTGTGATGCTAATCTTGATGGCGGCTTGATTGAAGTGAAGTCTGCATGAATCCGCAAACACCCACTCACGGGCAGTGTATTTTCCAGCATATTGCACTCAAGGCTCATGTTTCCCTTTTGACAGTGGAAATCATTATCAGGGGAAACGGGATTTTGATAAACGAACATTTGAGCTGCTTGGGGAAAATCGTCGCGCCGCTTCCATGAGAAATGTCACCACCTGAAAGGTTGAGCGGCTCGGTTCACCACCTGTGAGCAGCAAATCCGATTTCCGCGCTTCCCGTACGCTCGCCACCGCAATCTTCGGTATGGAGTTTCAACCTGCGGTTTGGGGTGCGAACTTCCCCTGGTTCGTGGTTCAAATTTTGTTTCACGACTTTCCCAGTTCCGTAGGAAAAATCGATCGATGTCGCTTGTGTACGTAATTCCCAACACGCGTGAAATGCAGAAACCGTAAGCTAGCACAGTACAGCGCAGCCCGGGTCAAATGCCACACTGTCAGGGGCTTCCTTCGGTAGGCAGGGAAAAATAGTCGTACTGCAGGTGAACTTTGTACATATCTGCCCTAGCAAACTCAAGCGAGTTTGCTACATATATGTTCAACCGTGGCCGGTTTGCCGCGTTGATCAATACAGAATTGTGACCTTAGTCTTGGATCTCCTTCAAGCATTTCTTCACTCTGCTGTCTCCTACATGTTTCTTCTACGCCTTCCCACCTCTCAAACCCTCGAGCTTCGGCTTCATTGATGTGGATGCTTCTTGGCAATTACCGTCACAGGTTGCGCGAATCGAGCCGCCATAAAATCGTGACTCGCGACGAGGCCACGTGTCAGTAAATGTGGCACTACACTGTTCGCCACAGCGTCGGACGCTAGGTCCTGATTCGAAAGTCCACATCGCCTCAACAGTTGGACTCACCCGCGGGTCGCGCGCATTTCTTCCCCCGTCCGCCTTGCGCTACCACGGGCAGTTTTTTCCCTCGTCCGCATTTCGCTCCCTCTCGCATTTAGTAGTGCCGACGTGTCTGCATAGCCCAGGCATCCTGAAAGCCAGCCTCGCGCATCTCGTGCGACTGTGGCGCCTTTACTACTGCTGGGAACTTTGCGGCTTCTGACACGATGGATCGTCGCGGCTCGGCGTGTCCAGCCCACGCGCTTCGACTAGTAGCAGTCTTACTGACCATCGCCGTCGCTCCCGCCGCCGCTGGCCGGCGTATAGGTAAGCGGCCTAATGCTGACGTAGGTTGACGTGGCGCGCTTGGTTAAAATGAAGGCTGTACACGCTCCGTTTAGAGTTTGGACGTAGACGGTGGTCGACGCTGGGCGCCGGTAAGAACCGGTGGACGACGGGGAAAATGGTGCACGGCGGCGGAAAACGGTGGACGACGGAATGCGCGAAGGGAACGAATGCGCGCGGGGGACTTATGCGCGCGGGGTGAGTCGGAAGTGCGTCAGCCGCGCTCGAGGCAGACGGCAGCCATCTCCGCAGACCACCTGGCCCTCTGTCGGAAGTGAGTTGACTCAAAAGTCATCTCCGCAGACCATCTGGCTCTCTGTCGAAAGTGCGGCGGATGACGTATGCGGAGCTGGCTCTCGTAGGAACGATTCTCCGCAGTCCGTACCTGAGTATCGTTCCCACGAGAGAAGGCAGCAGCAAGTCGTCCTTCTCTCGCAGCGAACGCAGCGCGGTGACTTTTGAGTCGGCTCAAAAGTCGCTCAGCTCCGCAGACCATCTGCGAATGACGTACCGGAGAATCGTTTCTTGCGAGAGCGCGCTCCGCAGCAAGTCGTCCTTCTCTCCAACCAAACGCAGCACACTCTTGTTGTCTCCATCGGCGCGCAGCGCGCGCGCTCGTTTCCGCCACGCGCGGCGACGTTCATCGGTCGGCGCACTGCGATTCCGTGAATGGTCACTGCATCTACCACCGAATTTCGTGCGGTGGTGGCGCATGCCAGCGGATGTCACCGCGTGGCACCGTACGGCACCGCGCCAGATCCAGGACCCAGGCTGTAGTCAAATGCGACAGTTTACCCTATACCGCTTCTTTCTTACCACCTCCTCCGCCCCCTCCTTCCTCCCTACCCCCTTTTTCTTCTTTCCCCTCCCCCGACCCTCCCCACGCCCTCATCCCCTTCCTCGTTACAGACACACTTGGAACGCAAGTTCCGAGTGACACCGCGAGCACATCCGATACAGCGTCAAACACACTCGATACAACGACAAACGCTGACTCCGCCGGAACCGCGACCTCTGTCGACGCGACAGCTGGCGCGTCGGGTTCGGACCTCGCGGCGCTGGCGGTCGACGCGAAGACGCGCGCGGAGATTAAAGCCCTCGCGCCGCTGCTGGGCAGCGCGGACCTGACGGGCGCCGACAAGCCGCCAGAACGCGCCTCGTACTTAACTAAAGACGCGTTCGCGGCGGCGGCGCGCCAGTGGCTCGCAAAAGTGAAGCGGCGCGTGGAGAAGCTGATTCGGCAGGCGGGGGGAGGCGGAGGGACGGGGCGCGGGGCGAGCAATGGGAACAGCGCGCGAAGGAATACCACAACCGTTGGTGAGAGTCGCGCGGGAGCGCTTTTGGTGAGAGTCGCGCGTGGGCAGCATGAGGGCGGCACAAGGGTGGCACGAGCAGGCCACGTGGGCGGCACGTGGGCGGCACGTGGGCGGCATGGGGGTGGTAGCTAGCGTGGGGGTTTGCAGCGCTGGTGCCGCCGTGGGTGCACTGGCAGTTGACCCCAACCTGGGTTCTCCTCTCACTTCACAGGCAGACCCCAACCTGGGTTACGTGCCCCCCACTCACTTCAACTCTCCTCTCCCTCTTCCCTCCCTGCCTCTTTTTTCCCCCTTCCCCACCCCAGACCGCCGTCTGGGGCACGTGCCTCCCACCACCAAGGCCCTCGCCAAGCTGCGTGTGCTTGCACCAATCCCTCTTATCTCCCTCTTCTCTCCCTCTTCTCTCCCTCTTCTCTCCCTCTTCTCTCCCTCTTCTCTCCCTCTTCTCTCCCAACGCCTCCCCTCCTCCCACCGCCAGACCGCAGACTGGGCTACGTCCCCCCTCCCAGCACGGATCCCGCCAAGCAGCCGAATCTGAACACGGTGTCGCGCTACCTCACTGTGGGTCTCAAGGTCGACCCAACCTCGCAGAAGCTCACGTGGGATTTCAAGAAGAATGTGGACCACAGCAAGCTGTTCACGCCTGACGACGAGTTCGACCAGGGCAACTGTGGTGCGTGCTGTAGGCTGCTGTTGACCCGCGTTGACCTTAGTTGACTACTGTTGACCCGCGTTGACTGCTTCGTTGACTTCTGTTGACCTGCTTTGACTGCTGTGGACTGTGACCGCTGCCCAAGTGCGTTGACTGCCGTTGACCTGTTTTGACTGCTGTCGAAGAGCGTTGACTGCCGTTGACTTTGTGGGAGGTCGAGACTTGATTGACTTGGGCCCGCATTTCATCGACTCCTCTCCTCGCCCAGGGTATTGCTGTGCGTACGCGGCGGCCAGGGCAATCCACGCTGTGTACGCTAAAACTCGTGGCCAGGGCATGCTAAAACTCGCGGCCAGGGCATGCTAACACGGACCGGACGCGTTCCCCACAACAACCTCCCCCGTCCTTCCCCTCCTCCCTCCTCCCTCCTCCCCCTCTCCCCTCCCTCCCCTTATCCCAGGCTCCTGCTGGGCGTACGCGGCGGCGCGGGCGGTGCAGGGAGCGTATGCGAAGCTGAAAGAGACGGACGATGACGTGTTCCCCAGCGGGATGCGCCTGTCCGTGCAGCAGCTGCTGGACTGCACGGGCGCCGCTGCCTCGTGCCGGGGGGGGTACCCCGAGGCTGCCCTGCAGTATGCCGCCAAGATTGGGCTGCAGGACGAGGCGGAATACGCGTATACTGGGGCCAGTGGGAGGTGCAGCGTGAACAAGGACGCGGTGAGTGTTTCTGAGTCGAGTCAATAGGTGCCTCGTGCCGGGGGGGCCACCCCGAGGCTGCTCTGCAGTATGCCGCCAAGATCGGGCTGCAGGATGAGGCGGGCTATGCGTACACGGTGAGTTGGACAGTGTTAACAAGTGCAGTGTTAACAAGTGCAGTGTTAACAAGTGCAGTGTTAACAAGTGCAGTGTTAACAAGTGCAGTGTTAACAAGTGCAGTGTTAACAAGTGCAGTGTTAACAAGTGCAGTGTTAACAAGTGCAGTGTTAACAAGTGCAGTGTTAACAAGTGCAGTGTTAACAAGTGCAGTGTTAACAAGTGCAGTGTTAACAAGTGCAGTGTTAACAAGTGCAGTGTTAACAAGTGCAGTGTTAACAAGTGCAGTGTTAACAAGTGCAGTGTTAACAAGTGCAGTGTTAACAAGTGCAGTGTTAACAAGTGCAGTGTTAACAAGTGCAGTGTTAACAAGTGCAGTGTTAACAAGTGCAGTGTTAACAAGTGCAGTGTTAACAAGTGCAGTGTTAACAAGTGCAGTGTTAACAAGTGCAGTGTTAACAAGTGCAGTGTTAACAAGTGCAGTGTTAACAAGTGCAGTGTTAACAAGTGCAGTGTTAACAAGTGCAGTGTTAACAAGTGCAGTGTTAACAAGTGCAGTGTTAACAAGTGCAGTGTTAACAAGTGCAGTGTTAACAAGTGCAGTGTTAACAAGTGCAGTGTTAACAAGTGCAGTGTTAACAAGTGCAGTGTTAACAAGTGCAGTGTTAACAAGGACGCAGTGAGTGTTCAGTCGGTGAGTGTTCAGTCGACCTGACATGTGTGCCTTGGTACCGAAACGCCCCGTGCTACCCAAAATGCACCTCGGTACCCAAAATGCACAGCGGTACTCTAAATCTGCGCTCCTTTCTCTCCCCTACCGCCCCTCACCACCGCTCTCCACCGCTCTCAGGACAAGTGGAACATATCGATGTACGAGCAGGTGCCACTGCCGGGGCCGCTGGGGCTCATTCTCGCGCTGCAGAAGCAGCCCGTCATCGTCACCATCCGCGCCTCCTCCCAAGACTTTATCGACTACTCGGGAGTGAGTTGGGGGTGTTACGCTGCTGCTGCTGCTGCTGCTGCTGCACTGCTGCTGCTGCTGCTCCTCTCGCTGAGTTTGCCTACTTTAGCGCCGACTCTAAAGTTGTAGCGCTATAGAATCAGCCCGCTATCGTCGCCATCCGCGCCTCCTCCCAAGACTTTATTGACTACTCCGTGACTGGGTTGGGGCTCCGCTGCTCCCAAGACGTTGCTGCTGCTGCTGCCCCTGCTGCTGCCCCTGCTGCTGCCCCTGCTGCTGCCCCTGTTGCTGCTGCTGCCCCTGCTGCTGCCCCTGTTGCTGCTGCTGCCCCTGCTGCTGCCCCTGTTGCTGCTGCTGCCCCTGCTGCTGCCCCTGTTGCTGCTGCTGCCCCTGCTGCTGCCCCTGTTGCTACTGCTGCCCCTGCTGCTGCCCCTGTTGCTACTGCTGCCCCTGCTGCTGCCCCTGTTGCTGCTGCTGCCCCTGCTGCTGCCCCTGTTGCTGCTGCTGCCCCTGCTGCTGCCCCTGTTGCTACTGCTAGCACTGAGTTTGTGGTGACAGGCGCACCCACCCACCCACCCGCCCATTCGCCCTTTCCTCACAGGGCGACCGTGAGTTGACTCAACAGTCAACTCGTGATGCTTGCCGTTGGATATCACTACTAGCGCATGGGGAGTTGGGCAAACAAGTTGCCTTCTTCCCCCCCCTTGTCACACCCACCCACTCACCCTCACACACACTCCAACCCATCCATCCATCCACCCATCCCACCATCCTCCCTCCCGTCGCAGGGCCACGTGTACCAGGGCTGGGGCTGCTACAACCCCGTGGGAACCGTCCTGGACAGTGGTGGAAGCGAGGGGTTCAGGGCGACAGCCACGGCCACCAACAACACGGGGCTGCTGGACCACGTGATGCTGGCCGTGGGGTATAACTACGAGGGGCCGAGCAACTGGAATAACTATTTCATTCTGAAGAACAGCTGGGGGCCGCAGTGGGGCGAGGGCGGGTACATGCGGATTCGCATGGAGAACGGGCCGTTTGGCACGTGCGGCATGCTCGTCAACCGCGGGCTCTACCCCGTTGTGAATGGTGAGTGAGGCGCCCCGTTGTGAATGGTGGGTGAGGCGCCCCGTTGTGAATGGTGAGTGAGGCGCCCGTTGTGAATGGTGAGTGAGGCGCCCCGTTGTGAATGGTGAGTGAGGCGCCCCGTTGTGAATGGTGGGTGAGGCGCCCCGTTGTGAATGGTGAGTGAGGCGCCCCGTTGTGAATGGTGAGTGAGGCGCCCCGTTGTGAATGGTGAGTGAGGCGCCCCGTTGTGAATGGTGAGTGAGGCGCCCCGTTGTGAATGGTGAGTGAGGCGCCCCGTTGTGAATGGTGAGTGAGGCGCCCCGTTGTGAATGGTGAGTGAGGCGCCCCGTTGTGAATGGTGAGTGAGGCGCCCCGTTGTGAATGGTGAGTGAGGCGCCCCGTTGTGAATGGTGAGTGAGGCGCCCCGTTGTGAATGGTGAGTGAGGCTCCCTGTTTCCCCCCTCAGACCAGCCCGCTTGCTTGTCAACCGCGGGCTGTACCCCGTTGTGAATGGTGAGGGAACCCTATCTAAGTTTCCCCCCCTTTTTTTCTCTTCTTTCTGTCTTCCTTTCTTTCTTTCCTTCTCTTTTTCTCTCTTCTTCTTTCTCTCGTTCACGCTTATTCTGACTGATGGTGCTATGGAATCCAATCCCACTTTCTACCCTCGCATTTCCCCCTTTCCCTTTTCCCCTCTCTCCCTCCGTCATGCCCCCTCGCCAGCCCACCAGGCCACGGACCCTTGCAGCACGTCGCCGTGTGGGGGGGGGCATTTGCTTGAGGTGCATTGACCCCTACATTCCCCTTGTTTCCTCTCCCGTCCCCTACCCCTTCGCCAGCCCACCAGACCACGAACCCCTGCGGCACGTCACCATGTGGGGGGGGCACGTGTGTGGCAGACGAGAGTGGCAACGGCAAGTACACATGTCAGTGCACAGACCTGCTGGTGCCAGCTGTCAACCGCGACGGCACACCCACCTGCACCATCGGTGAGTCGTGGCATGGGTGATTTCACCCCTTAGGCTCCTGAGATTATTTGGGGTGCTTCGTCCCCTTGGGGTGCTTCGTCCCCTTGGGGTTCTTCGTCCCCTTGGGGTGTTTTGATCCCTTGGGGTTCTCACAATCCCCCCCTCCTCTCTCATTCTTCTCTCCCTTTCACCCTTCCTTTCCAGTCAAAATCTGCAGTGTGCTGCCCACCAACCCCTGTGTGATCCGCCAGTGCATCAACAAGGCCACTCAGCGCCACAGCCTTCTCATTCCCCCAACCCTCTCTCATTCTCCGTCTCCCCTCTATCCCTTCCCCTCAGTCGATATCTGCAGTGTCCTACCCACCAACCCCTGCGTCGTGGGGCAGTGCATCAACAGCGGCGACGGCGGCTACTCGTGCCTCTGCCCGCCCAACTACAAGCCCAGCACTCTCGCCTCTGGCCAAATTACATGCGTTCCTGGTGAGGCTAGGGGGAACGGTGTATGTTTTTGGAGGAGGGAGGGGAGAGTAGGGCTGGGAGGGGAGAGTGGGGCTGGAAAGGAGGCCTCTGCCCGCCCAACTACAAGTGTGGTTTTTAAGAATTCTCAAAAAACACACGCTCAGCGTGCTTGCTTCCGGCCAGACCACCTGTGTGCCTGGTGAGCTGGAGTGTGGTGGGAGGTGTGGTGGTGGGAATGAATGAAGCAACGGCGGCTACTCGTGTCCCTGGTGAGGCTTGGGGGAAATGGAGGAGGGAGGGCGTTTGGTGGAGGATGGAAGGGAGAGTGAGAGTGTGAGGAATGTGTGGTGGTGGGGATGAGAATGGTGTCTACAAGGCATGCGTGCTCGTGCCTGTGTCCACCCAACGACAAGCCCAGCGTGCTTGCAATAAACCCTGGTGACGTTGGGAGGGAGTTTGGAGGAGGAGGGAGGGAAGAGTGAGAGTCAGACCCCAAAAGACCACCTGCGTGCTTGGTGAGGCTGGGGGGAACGGTTGGTCGTTTGAGAGGGAGGGACTGGGAGGAGGGTGAAACTAGTATCTTAACTATCATCATAATCATCAGTATCATCAGTATTACTAATATTTCTACTTTTTTTCTACTGTTGCTGTTGCTATTCCTAGAGGATTCAGGGTTTAAGGTCTCGAAACTATTTTTTTTGGCATCCCTCAAATCCCACGGCAGATATGGCAACGAGTGCTGCAGCAGCGGTGCAGGGCACGTACACAGTGCAGGGCGGGGAGACGTGTGGCTCCATCTACGGCTTCATCGGCCTCTCCCAGGAGCAGTTTTTGGAGCAGAATAAGGTGCGAGCAGGTACTGGTGCAGAATAAGGTGCGAGCACTGATAACGGCAGCTCTGCTGCACTGCAGTACCAGGTTACAGGAAGGATGAGAGTGATAAAAAAGGTCATGGCAATAAAAGTTTCTTTTCTGTTTATTCTACCTCTCCATCTCTCTGCCTTCTCCATCTACTATTATTCTTTCCATTGTCATGTTCTCAAGAGGAGACCGTGTTCTCCATAATGAGATGTGCTTTTCTGCCTTCTGTGCCCCATTCCCCCCACCATCGTCCCCACTCCCCCAACCATAATCATCCCCACTCCCCAACCACCCACCGACATGTCGGCTGTGGCAATCGCACAGCAGCTCGGGTGCTCTCAACCTCTCAGCCTCTCAACTCTATCCATCCCTTCCCTTTCACCCCTTTCATTCTCTCCCCACCAGCAGGGCGAGGACTGTTGAGACGTCCCCTCCAATCACCCAATCCCTTTCATCCCTCAGGGTGAGGACTGTGACAATCTGAAGGTGGGGCCGCTGCTCTAACAGCCCGATCCCCTCCAACCTTGCTCTACCCCTTTCTATCCTTCCCTCCCTCCATCCCTCCATTCATCCCCTCCAATCACCCAACCCCTTTCATCCCTCAGGGAGTGGACTGCGACAATCTCAAGGCGGGTCAAGTGCTCAACATCTCCATCCCCTCTACGGCTCAAGTGTGCCGTGTGCGATACTCTGTCACCCAGGTGCGTTACATGTCACCCAGGTGCGTTACATGTCACCCAGGTGCGTTACATGTATCCCAGGTGCATTACATGTCACCCATATACACTGTCACTCTCTCCCTCTTACCCAAAGTTTCCCCCTTCTCACCCCTTTCTCTCTCTCATTTATCTCCCCCTTCCTCCACCTCCCTTTTCATCCCCTCTCCTCATCCCCCTCTCCTCATCCCCCAGGCGGACGCAGCAGCAAGGAGCTGTGATGCCATCAACACCCGCTTTGGCATCGACGTCACGACCATCAACCCCAACCTCGACTGCTCCAGCCTCACGCCCAACCAGCAGGTCAGGCGAGTGGTGCACAGTGGTTCCACTGGTGTAGCAGGCGGTGAGAGCGGTGGGAAGTGGTTCGTCTGTTGAATGGAGGGGTAGCATAGGTTTTAAGCGCTTTGGTATAGATGCCATGACGATAAATCCTGACCTCGAATGCTCGTGCCACGGGCTGAAGCAGCAAGTTCTTGATTCGCCCACCTGCTCCCCTTTCTTATCTTTCCTTGCTAACCCTCACTTACTCTTTCCTCCTCTCTTCTGCTCCTCTCCTCTTCCCCTCACCGTCCGCAGATCTGCATTCAAGTGGGAGACCCGGTCTTAGGAGCAGCAGCTAACAACAATCTCCGCACCAACTACCAGCCAGTCCGCCAGTGGATCACCTGCGCCCCTCTCCTCTCCCCTTCTCCTCTCACTGTCCCCCCCACTCTCCCTCCCCCCCTGCGCAGATCTGCATCCAGGTGGGCGATGCCGTGTCAGGAGCAGCGGACTACAATCTCTGCACGAGCTACGTGACGGCCAGCGAGGGGATCACCTGCTCCCTCCCAAACCTTCCTCCCCTCAAACCTTGCCTCTCAAACCTGCTTCCCCTCTCTCACCCACTGCAGATCTGCATTCAGGTGGGGAATGCAGTGTCAGGAGCAGCGGTCTACAATCTCTGCACGAGCTACGTGCCATTCATCTAGTGCCTTCTTCTTCTCCTCGCACTCTCTTCTCCTCCTTCCCCCCACATCAGATCTGCATTCAGGTGGGGGATGCGGTGTCAGGAGTAGCGGACTACAATCTGTGCACGAGCTACGTGGCGGCCAGCGAGTGGATTACCTGTGCCAACGCTGTCGATTGGTACGGCCTCTCCTGGTTCGACCTCTACCGCCTCAACCCCGGGCTCAACTGCGACACCATCGGCTCGCTCACCGGCTCTGAGGTACCTAACAGGGGGTGCGCTAGGGAGGGTGCCGCTATGAATGGTGGCACTAGAGTGGTGCTCTAAGGGGGTGGCGCTGGGGGGGGTGGCACTAGAGTGGTGCTCTAAGGGGGTGGCACTAGAGTGGTGCTCTAAGGGGGTGACACCCCCCCTTTCCCAACACCCCCCCTTTCCCAACACCCCCAGATCTGCATTGCAGGCACGCCGTTGGGAGCGGTGGCGTGCGGTAAGGCGCGGTCAAGGAAGGTGGCGAACCGGAAGTACACGGTGGCGGCGGGGGACAGCTGTGCGTCACTGGTGGTGGTGCAGTTCCAGCGCCAGCCGCCGCTTATGAGCGAGCTCAACCGCGGCTGGATGTGCCGCTCCCAGAGCCTCTTCCAAGGCATGCCCCTCTGCATCCCCTCTTAAAGCCAACCTGATGGCGCGGTATGTCGTTATGGCATGGCATCCCCCTTTTTGAATCAGCGGTGTGGCGTGGTGTATCGCTATGGGCAATGGACTTTGGGTCTCGCCTCGAATCTACTAGTTTGAGGGATATTATATGGCAGTGTGATTTAGCAGCTCCAATGTGGTACACAATGTTATGTATTATATATTAACGACATAATAGTCACCATTGTTTACAGGAAAACGGTTGTGCCATTGGTGAGAGCAATACGTATGATGTTGCAAAATGAGGAAAGGTGATTTCCTGAGCACATTATCTAGCAAACCAGTACTTGCAGGTGTACTATTTAATACTTCTTCTCAACATTGCCCTCCCGTGGCAAGCACCGCCTTCAAACCTTCTCACGAGTCACGACCAGCACATTTCAAATGTGGGAAGCGAAGGGTAGAATGTTTCTCGGTTCACCATCCCCAAATTCTTGAACTCTCGTTCTGTTGCCAAGCTACACTTTATGAAGTTCTAACAGGAATGAAAGCGACGAAAGAAAACAAGAAACTGCATCATATCGTGCTTCCGTCCCGTGCTGATAGCGACTGTTATCACACCGAGAATAGATGTCCCAAATCTCAAATATTGATAGGGCAGATCGAGAACGTTTTTTTGCCCGAGTCACTACACGGCGATTGCGGGAAGCGCGCACGTTCTCTCCTGTGCGGCAGGCAGCGCATGGCACCACCGATTTTCAGGACTTTCGGATCGCCATTCGTGCGGCTCAACCGTCAAACGAAGGGGAACACCGGCACGGCAGCACCTCCGTCAGTAATGGTCGATGACTACTGCATCCCACTGCTTCAGACCATTGGGGACCACACTGAACCCTACCAGGTCAGTTGTAATTTGTTAACAAAACCTTTTCTTGCTCTTCGCCTCTCATATATTATCGAGCCACCCTGTTTCTTGCGATTCTTGCGCTCCACTACTACATTCCCTCCGACTTTCATTACGACGTTACGATGCCCGAGGTTCTTTGTCCCGCTCAACCCTGCAAACCCTCATTATCGTGCAACGTACGTTGAAGCTCATAGCAAGCAAGTGATCGATTCGTATTGAAGGCAAGATATATTAGTAGAACCGAGTCGCTTCGTACCGCTTTCCATCATGGCGGTTGCCTCGCCGCGGTTCTCATGCTCGTACGCGTCGTGGTGCGCTGTGCTCTATCTGCTGCTGCTCTCGTTGTCCTCGACGGCGACGGCTCAACCGGCGAAGGCGGAGTATCTTGCGGAGCTCAACACGCTCGTTTCAAGGTTCAATATGCAAGGTTGTAGCATCATAGCGCAAGGCGTATCGGCCTTCATTGGGCAAGTCGGTAAGTGTGTTTTAACCTATCTCTTTATTTGCGTGTTGCTCACGCGCTTCAATCTGAAACCCTTTTCAATTGTCCTGCTGCAAAATACGGCGAGCTGACATTCAAGTACCAACCTCGCACATGGTGGAGTCTTGCCGACATGGCATTGAAAGCCTTTTTCGTCGTATGGAATATGTGCTCATGCCGGAGTGGTTAACGGGACAGACTAGAAATCTGTTGGGCTCTGCCCGCGCAGGTTCGAGTCCTGCTGAGCACGCCTTTTGTAAGCCATCTGTTTCATTCCGCTCCTCCGTTGACTTCTTCCCACCCACCTACTTCCTGACCTCACCTTTCTCACCACGTCGTTTTTTCCTCCGTTCACCTTCCTCCCCAGACCCACTCTCCTCTTTGGCAGAGAAAGTTCTCGCTATCTCCTCTTGATGTGACACCCAGAACTCCCCTTCGTCATGCCATGATCTTAAACGATATCGATCAATCCTCTTCCTTACATCCCACTTCACCATCCCCCTCCTTGTCCGCATCAGAGCAAGTCCCAGACGCCTCTTTTTCCGCAGGCTACCAGGAGTTGACCTTCCTCGGACCGTCCGACTATGCTTTTGCAAAAGCAGTTTTTCGGCCACGGGTCTCGGCCGTTGACCGCACAGAGCTTGTGAAGTACCACACCCTATCAGGGCTCTACAGCTTTGCGCAGCTTAAAGCCCTGCCCAACCGCAGCAAGATACCCACTGCACTGGGGAAGAGCATAGTGAAGCACAGCGTGCGGGCCAGCCGGTTCTGGAATCCGGGAACGAGTGTGGCGGTGAGCAGTACGGGCGCGCAGCAGCTGTTTTGGGCGCAGGTGGACACAAAGAAGCTGTTCAACGGGCAGTATGTGAAGGGGCATGTCATCGACTGCGTTCTCGTTCCCAACTGACTGACGCATCTTGAGACGCCTCAAAAGGTTCTGGAACCCGGGAACGAGCATGGCAGTGAGCAGCCCGGGAGCGCAGCAGCTCATTGGGCTCAGGTGGACACAAAGAAGCTTTTCAAGGCAGTATGTGAAGGGGCATGTCATTGACTGCGTTCTCGTTTCCAACTGGCTGACTCTTGCTGATGAAACGGGTCTTGGCGAGATATGTGTTTACATACTGCATGAAGCATGCATGTTATTTATTGTGTTCCCGCTCCCAGCTGACGCCTTCAGAATGAAACATGCTGCAGCTTACCAATGCCCTACTAAACGTTCCTGTATACAGTACGACTTGCAATTTGAAGCTAGGGAAGTTCCAGAGTGCAACAGCTGCTGTGGATGAATGCCGGGCGTGCAACTGAACGAGTAAAGCAAGGATTGCAAAAGATGACAAATGTGCTCGAATTTATGAGCGAACAATTAATAGCGAGTGAAGCAAATGGTAACATGATGTTACGGGCTAGTCTGTGTAGAGTTGGCTACCAGGTTTACAACAGTGCGAGGTTTGGCGAAGTAGCGCACGAGGTGGCTAGCATCGCTAACCAATAGCGCGGGCGAAGAACGGCTGAGTGTTGTATGCGGTGCAGGAGATGCAGTAAGGAATTCGAAAAAATCATTTCAAAACCAGACTGTCATTGTTTTTGTTTATTGCAAACTCACTAAAAAGTGTACTATGCGTCGACAATCGGAACTGGCAAAACCATACTGTCGTGAAATTGTTACTTGTACCGGGACCTTTGGAGTGAACCTACTATTTTAGCGTTGACTTTCGTAGAGTGAAATGTTATGTGGATTCAGGTTTTTTCGTTGACATTTCGCTGCACGACTTCCCTTGGGTACGAAACACGAATCGCTCTCAACCAATGATTTTGCGTCGTGGTTCTTCGTTGATGTGCGCGAAATGGTACTGCTGCTACAATGACCGACGTACCAAATCAGGTGCGCTTCGGGTCGACACACCAAACGCTGACATGTCCAATGCGCACGCTCACTTGGGACAAACGAATGTTGACAAACGAATGTACGAAGTGCACAACGAGGTCTGATCCAACAAACATTTGACGATTCACCAATCGCTCTCACGTTGCACACAGTCAACCTTCCCGAGCCGCAGCCGCGTTGTTGCTTCAATAACAAGACATGGAAGGAAGCTTGGACGTTGCCTTTTTCCCGCAGGCACCAGCTGCACCGATTTTCATGACACACCGTTGCGGTGACAGATGTGCGGCACCCTCGAAGAAAGAGATCATGATCCAAATCTTATATTTCTCATGATAGTAGTCACGACGAAATCATGTTGCTCAACTTTCTCTCATTTCGAAGTTTGCGATGCACATCATGGCTCTCGTGCTCGTCTAGCAAGCCGTTTATTCCAGGTGCTCAGCTCTTCTAAGCAATACGCACAGCAATATATAGATTCCTAATATTACAAACAGCCAATATATTACTAGTTTAAGTATGGCGGTTGCCTCGTCGCAGCACTGGCGCTTGCACATCCTCTGCCTGCTGATGCTCTCGTTGTCCGCGACGGCGTGGGCTCAGATAGGAACGGTTTCGCCGACCAAGGCGGCGTATCTCGCGGAGCTCAACACGCTCGCTTCAAGGCTCAAGAAGCAAGGCTGTAGCGTCATGGCGAATACCGTGTCGAGCTTCGCTAGTGAAGTCGGTGAGTGTGGGAGTGTGTGTGTGTGTGTGTGTGTGTGTGTGTGTGTGTGTGTGTGTGTGTGTGTGTGTGTAAAAATCGTTGTAGTTGTATTTATTATTATTATTAATATTCTGTTATTTTTCTTCTCTACAATACATCTCTTGTGTCCAGACCGCAAGTTGCTCACACTAAATTTTCAGTGCTGACCTGACTTGAGGCGAACCAGACTCACCCCGAATCCACCTGACCTGACTTCACTCCCCTCCTCTCCCCTACTATCCCCCACCTCACTCCCGCCCTCCCTGTCTGCACCAGCGAAACTCACTGACGCTAGCTTCTCTGCAGGCTACAAGGAACTCACCTTCCTCGCTCCTTCCGACTTTGCTTTCACAAAAGCAACCTTTAGGCCGCGTGTCTCTGCTGTCAGTCACACGGAGATTGTGAAGTATCATACTCTATCAGGGTTCTACAGCTTTGCGCAGCTTAAAGCCCTGCCCAACCGCAGCAAGATACCCACTGCACTGGGGAAGAGCATAGTGAAGCACAGCGTGCGGGCCAGCCGGTTCTGGAATCCGGGAACGAGTGTGGCGGTGAGCAGTCCGGGCGCGCAGCAGCTGTTTTGGGCGCAGGTGGACACCAAGAAGCTGTTCAACGGGCAGTATGTGAAGGGGCATGTCATCGACTGCGTTCTCGTTCCCAACTGACTGAAGCCTGCGAAACGATATAGCGGAATATGCGCATTGATTAGTTCAGGTTCAGGGTACTTGGGGGTGGAGGACTCTCTTACCGTATGTTGCTGTCCCCTTATTGCACAAGGAGCAGTTTAGACTATCCCTTCCAGTGCTACTGTAATTACTGTTGCTGAAAGTTCATGCTAGGTACGGTACTGTATTAGCAGATGCCACAAGTTGCACATGTCAGGCTGCATCATTGGTCAGTCAAAGCAGTACAGATTTTTGGTTCCATTCACTTACATCGAGCAGCATGCACGTCAGTTCAGTTGCAATCGTTTCCCAATGGAATGTGAGCATGAGTGAAGCATGACGACAGGATGTGCAATGTGCAATCCTTCCATTGCACGACGAGCGGAATACAAGACTAGCAACCAACTAGCAGGTGCACTAAGCGCATGCGCATCTGTCTGTAGGGGGCCAGCAAGCAAGCAGTACTACCGTAACAGTAGTGCTCCACATACAGTACATGAGCCCAACATACGGTACACATTATTGGATGGCGAGACATGCAAGGGAGCCGCATACAGGCATAAACAATACGAGGAGTTGATGCAGCAGCTAAGGGTGGGGCAGCCCCTGGCCAGAGAAGGAGCCCCTAGGGGCAGAGCAGCAGCAGCTAGGGGCAGAGCAGGGCGGACATGAGTGTGTTGCGGATGACTGGGTCGTTGACCTGTGAGAAGACTCGCGCCTCTATGGCTGGCAGCATGCGCCACACCTGGTGGTGCCGGGAGTTGCAGTGCGGTGCAGGGTGGTGCAGGGTGGTACAGGGAGGTGCAAGAGGGTGGAGTGGGAAAGCTTGTGGCAGAGGAGGAGCCCCTAGGGGCAGAGCAGGGAGGACATGAGTGTGTTGCGGATGACTGGGTCTTCGACCTGTGTGAAGACTCGCGCCTCAATGGCTGGCAGCATGCGCCACACCTGGTGGTGGAGGCAGGTGCAGTGCGGTGCAGGGTGATGCAGGAGGGTGGGGTGGGTAAAGCTTGGGGCAGAGAAGGAGCCCCTATGGGCAGAGCAAGGCGGACAAGAGAGTGTCGCGGATGACTGGGTCTTCGACCTGTGTGAAGACTCGCGCCTCAATGGCTGGCAGCATGCGCCACACCTGGTGGAGCCGGGGGGTGCAGTGCGGTGCAGGGTGGTGCAGGGGGTGCAGGAGGATGGGGTGGGAAAGCTTGTGGTGGAGGAGGAGCCTCTAGGGGCAGAGGCAGGGCGGACATGAGAGTGTGGCAGATGACTGGATCGTTGATCTGCGAGAAGACTTGCGCCTCTATGGCTGGCAGCATGCGCCACACCTCGTGGTGGAGGCAGGTGCAACGTGGTGCAAGGAGGTAACTTTACTTAAGGGAGGTGCAGTGAGGTGCAGTGAGGTGCAGTGAGGTGCAGTGAGGTGCAGGGAGCTGAGGTTGAGGTGAAGGGAGACGGAGGATGGGAACGAGAAGCATGTGATGCGTTGGATGGTGGATGGTGAGCCAGCATGGCACCTCCTGTGCCAGCCTAACACACCTGCCTGTGCCAGCCTAACACACCTCCTGTGCCAGCCTAACACACCTGCCTGTGCCAGCCTAACACACCTGCCTGTGCCAGCCTAACACACCTGCCTGTGCCAGCCTAACACACCTGCCTGTGCCAGCCTAACACACCTGCCTGTGCCAGCCTAACACACCTGCCTGTGCCAGCCTAACACACCTGCCTGTGCCAGCCTAACACACCTGCCTGTGCCAGCCTAACACACCTGCCTGTGCCAGCCTAACACACCTGCCTGTGCCAGCCTAACACACCTGCCTGTGCCAGCCTAACACACCTGCCTGTGCCAGCCTAACACACCTGCCTGTGCCAGCCTAACACACCTGCCTGTGCCAGCCTAACACACCTGCCTGTGCCAGCCTAACACACCTGCCTGTGCCAGCCTAACACACCTGCCTGTGCCAGCCTAACACACCTGCCTGTGCCAGCCTAACACACCTGCCTGTGCCAGCCTAACACACCTGCCTGTGCCAGCCTAACACACCTGCCTGTGCCAGCCTAACACACCTGCCTGTGCCAGCCTAACACACCTGCCTGTGCCAGCCTAACACACCTGCCTGTGCCAGCCTAACACACCTGCCTGTGCCAGCCTAACACACCTGCCTGTGCCAGCCTAACACACCTGCCTGTGCCAGCCTAACACACCTGCCTGTGCCAGCCTAACACACCTGCCTGTGCCAGCCTAACACACCTGCCTGTGCCAGCCTAACACACCTGCCTGTGCCAGCCTAACACACCTGCCTGTGCCAGCCTAACACACCTGCCTGTGCCAGCCTAACACACCTGCCTGTGCCAGCCTAACACACCTGCCTGTGCCAGCCTAACACACCTGCCTGTGCCAGCCTAACACACCTGCCTGTGCCAGCCTAACACACCTGCCTGTGCCAGCCTAACACACCTGCCTGTGCCAGCCTAACACACCTGCCTGTGCCAGCCTAACACACCTGCCTGTGCCAGCCTAACACACCTGCCTGTGCCAGCCTAACACACCTGCCTGTGCCAGCCTAACACACCTGCCTGTGCCAGCCTAACACACCTGCCTGTGCCAGCCTAACACACCTGCCTGTGCCAGCCTAACACACCTGCCTGTGCCAGCCTAACACACCTGCCTGTGCCAGCCTAACACACCTGCCTGTGCCAGCCTAACACACCTGCCTGTGCCAGCCTAACACACCTGCCTGTGCCAGCCTAACACACCTGCCTGTGCCAGCCTAACACACCTGCCTGTGCCAGCCTAACACACCTGCCTGTGCCAGCCTAACACACCTGCCTGTGCCAGCCTAACACACCTCCTGTGCCAGCCTAACACACCTCCCTGTGCCAGCCTAACACACCTGTCTGTGCCAGCCTAACACACCTGCCTGTGCCAGCCTAACACACCTGCCTGTGCCAGCCTAACACACCTGCCTGTGCCAGCCTAACACACCTCCTGTGCCAGCCTAACACACCTGCCTGTGCCAGCCTAACACACCTGCCTGTGCCAGCCTAACACACCTGCCTGTGCCAGCCTAACACACCTGCCTGTGCCAGCCTAACACACCTGCCTGTGCCAGCCTAACACACCTGCCTGTGCCAGCCTAACACACCTGCCTGTGCCAGCCTAACACACCTGCCTGTGCCAGCCTAACACACCTGCCTGTGCCAGCCTAACACACCTGCCTGTGCCAGCCTAACACACCTGCCTGTGCCAGCCTAACACACCTCCTGTGCCAGCCTAACACACCTGCCTGTGCCAGCCTAACACACCTGCCTGTGCCAGCCTAACACACCTGCCTGTGCCAGCCTAACACACCTGCCTGTGCCAGCCTAACACACCTGCCTGTGCCAGCCTAACACACCTCCTGTGCCAGCCTAACACACCTGCCTGTGCCAGCCTAACACACCTGCCTGTGCCAGCCTAACACACCTGCCTGTGCCAGCCTAACACACCTGCCTGTGCCAGCCTAACACACCTGCCTGTGCCAGCCTAACACACCTGCCTGTGCCAGCCTAACACACCTGCCTGTGCCAGCCTAACACACCTGCCTGTGCCAGCCTAACACACCTGCCTGTGCCAGCCTAACACACCTGCCTGTGCCAGCCTAACACACCTGCCTGTGCCAGCCTAACACACCTGCCTGTGCCAGCCTAACACACCTCCTGTGCCAGCCTAACACACCTGCCTGTGCCAGCCTAACACACCTGTCTGTGCCAGCCTAACACACCTGCCTGTGCCAGCCTAACACACCTGCCTGTGCCAGCCTAACACACCTGCCTGTGCCAGCCTAACACACCTCCTGTGCCAGCCTAACACACCTGCCTGTGCCAGCCTAACACACCTGCCTGTGCCAGCCTAACACACCTGCCTGTGCCAGCCTAACACACCTGCCTGTGCCAGCCTAACACACCTGCCTGTGCCAGCCTAACACACCTGCCTGTGCCAGCCTAACACACCTGCCTGTGCCAGCCTAACACACCTGCCTGTGCCAGCCTAACACACCTGCCTGTGCCAGCCTAACACACCTGCCTGTGCCAGACACACCTGCCTGTGCCAGCCTAACACACCTCCTGTGCCAGCCTAACACACCTGCCTGTGCCAGCCTAACACACCTGCCTGTGCCAGCCTAACACACCTGCCTGTGCCAGCCTAACACACCTGCCTGTGCCAGCCTAACACACCTGCCTGTGCCAGCCTAACACACCTGCCTGTGCCAGCCTAACACACCTGCCTGTGCCAGCCTAACACACCTGCCTGTGCCAGCCTAACACACCTGCCTGTGCCAGCCTAACACACCTGCCTGTGCCAGCCTAACACACCTGCCTGTGCCAGCCTAACACACCTGCCTGTGCCAGCCTAACACACCTGCCTGTGCCAGCCTAACACACCTGCCTGTGCCAGCCTAACACACCTGCCTGTGCCAGCCTAACACACCTGCCTGTGCCAGCCTAACACACCTGCCTGTGCCAGCCTAACACACCTGCCTGTGCCAGCCTAACACACCTGCCTGTGCCAGCCTAACACACCTGCCTGTGCCAGCCTAACACACCTGCCTGTGCCAGCCTAACACACCTGTCTGTGCCAGCCTAACACACCTGCCTGTGCCAGCCTAACACACCTGCCTGTGCCAGCCTAACACACCTGCCTGTGCCAGCCTAACACACCTCCTGTGCCAGCCTAACACACCTGCCTGTGCCAGCCTAACACACCTGCCTGTGCCAGCCTAACACACCTGCCTGTGCCAGCCTAACACACCTGCCTGTGCCAGCCTAACACACCTGCCTGTGCCAGCCTAACACACCTGCCTGTGCCAGCCTAACACACCTGCCTGTGCCAGCCTAACACACCTGCCTGTGCCAGCCTAACACACCTGCCTGTGCCAGCCTAACACACCTGCCTGTGCCAGCCTAACACACCTGCCTGTGCCAGCCTAACACACCTGCCTGTGCCAGCCTAACACACCTGCCTGTGCCAGCCTAACACACCTGCCTGTGCCAGCCTAACACACCTCCTGTGCCAGCCTAAGACACCTGCCTGTGCCAGCCTAACACACCTGCCTGTGCCAGCCTAACACACCTGCCTGTGCCAGCCTAACACACCTGCCTGTGCCAGCCTAACACACCTGCCTGTGCCAGCCTAACACACCTCCTGTGCCAGCCTAACACACCTGCCTGTGCCAGCCTAACACACCTGCCTGTGCCAGCCTAACACACCTGCCTGTGCCAGCCTAACACACCTGCCTGTGCCAGCCTAACACACCTGCCTGTGCCAGCCTAACACACCTGCCTGTGCCAGCCTAACACACCTGCCTGTGCCAGCCTAACACACCTGCCTGTGCCAGCCTAACACACCTGCCTGTGCCAGCCTAACACACCTGCCTGTGCCAGCCTAACACACCTGCCTGTGCCAGCCTAACACACCTGCCTGTGCCAGCCTAACGCACCTCCTGTGCCAGCCTAACGCACCTGCCTGTGCCAGCCTAACACACCTGCCTGTGCCAGCCTAACACACCTGCCTGTGCCAGCCTAACACACCTGCCTGTGCCAGCCTAACACACCTGCCTGTGCCAGCCTAACACACCTGCCTGTGCCAGCCTAACACACCTGCCTGTGCCAGCCTAACACACCTGCCTGTGCCAGCCTAACACACCTGCCTGTGCCAGCCTAACACACCTGCCTGTGCCAGCCTAACACACCTGCCTGTGCCAGCCTAACACACCTGCCTGTGCCAGCCTAACACACCTGCCTGTGCCAGCCTAACACACCTGCCTGTGCCAGCCTAACACACCTGCCTGTGCCAGCCTAACACACCTGCCTGTGCCAGCCTAACACACCTGCCTGTGCCAGCCTAACACACCTGCCTGTGCCAGCCTAACACACCTGCCTGTGCCAGCCTAACACACCTGTCTGTGCCAGCCTAACACACCTGCCTGTGCCAGCCTAACACACCTGCCTGTGCCAGCCTAACACACCTGCCTGTGCCAGCCTAACACACCTCCTGTGCCAGCCTAACACACCTGCCTGTGCCAGCCTAACACACCTGCCTGTGCCAGCCTAACACACCTGCCTGTGCCAGCCTAACACACCTGCCTGTGCCAGCCTAACACACCTGCCTGTGCCAGCCTAACACACCTGCCTGTGCCAGCCTAACACACCTGCCTGTGCCAGCCTAACACACCTGCCTGTGCCAGCCTAACACACCTGCCTGTGCCAGCCTAACACACCTGCCTGTGCCAGCCTAACACACCTGCCTGTGCCAGCCTAACACACCTGCCTGTGCCAGCCTAACACACCTGCCTGTGCCAGCCTAACACACCTGCCTGTGCCAGCCTAACACACCTCCTGTGCCAGCCTAAGACACCTGCCTGTGCCAGCCTAACACACCTGCCTGTGCCAGCCTAACACACCTGCCTGTGCCAGCCTAACACACCTGCCTGTGCCAGCCTAACACACCTGCCTGTGCCAGCCTAACACACCTCCTGTGCCAGCCTAACACACCTGCCTGTGCCAGCCTAACACACCTGCCTGTGCCAGCCTAACACACCTGCCTGTGCCAGCCTAACACACCTGCCTGTGCCAGCCTAACACACCTGCCTGTGCCAGCCTAACACACCTGCCTGTGCCAGCCTAACACACCTGCCTGTGCCAGCCTAACACACCTGCCTGTGCCAGCCTAACACACCTGCCTGTGCCAGCCTAACACACCTGCCTGTGCCAGCCTAACACACCTGCCTGTGCCAGCCTAACGCACCTGCCTGTGCCAGCCTAACGCACCTCCTGTGCCAGCCTAACGCACCTGCCTGTGCCAGCCTAACACACCTGCCTGTGCCAGCCTAACACACCTGCCTGTGCCAGCCTAACACACCTGCCTGTGCCAGCCTAACACACCTGCCTGTGCCAGCCTAACACACCTGCCTGTGCCAGCCTAACACACCTGCCTGTGCCAGCCTAACACACCTGCCTGTGCCAGCCTAACACACCTGCCTGTGCCAGCCTAACACACCTGCCTGTGCCAGCCTAACACACCTGCCTGTGCCAGCCTAACACACCTGCCTGTGCCAGCCTAACACACCTGCCTGTGCCAGCCTAACACACCTGCCTGTGCCAGCCTAACGCACCTCCTGTGCCAGCCTAACGCACCTGCCTGTGCCAGCCTAACACACCTGCCTGTGCCAGCCTAACACACCTGCCTGTGCCAGCCTAACACACCTGCCTGTGCCAGCCTAACACACCTGCCTGTGCCAGCCTAACACACCTGCCTGTGCCAGCCTAACACACCTGCCTGTGCCAGCCTAACACACCTGCCTGTGCCAGCCTAACACACCTGCCTGTGCCAGCCTAACACACCTGCCTGTGCCAGCCTAACACACCTGCCTGTGCCAGCCTAACACACCTGCCTGTGCCAGCCTAACACACCTGCCTGTGCCAGCCTAACACACCTGCCTGTGCCAGACACACCTGCCTGTGCCAGCCTAACACACCTCCTGTGCCAGCCTAACACACCTGCCTGTGCCAGCCTAACACACCTGCCTGTGCCAGCCTAACACACCTGCCTGTGCCAGCCTAACACACCTGCCTGTGCCAGCCTAACACACCTGCCTGTGCCAGCCTAACACACCTGCCTGTGCCAGCCTAACACACCTGCCTGTGCCAGCCTAACACACCTCCTGTGCCAGCCTAACACACCTGCCTGTGCCAGCCTAACACACCTGCCTGTGCCAGCCTAACACACCTGCCTGTGCCAGCCTAACACACCTGCCTGTGCCAGCCTAACACACCTGCCTGTGGTAGCGGCGGCACAGTGACCGCATGCACCCCAGCACACACCGCATTTGCACCTTTTGACCCGACTAGTTAGGCATTTCACCTGCCACACTCACCTGCTACACCCACGATAACACACCTGTGGGCTGTGGTAGCGGCACAATGAGCGCATGTGACCCAGCACACAGCGCATCCACTCCTTCTCCCCCGCCGCCTTGAGCCGCCTCTTGTGGCCCCGCTCCTCCTCCTCCTTCCTCCTCTCCTCCTCCCTCTTCCTCCGCCCTGCCAATCGCCTGGAGCCACCGCAGCGGACAGAGCACAGGGGAGAGGAGAGGGCAAATAACGCAAATGAGGGAGAGAAGGGAAAGAAGGGAAAGGGGAAGGAAAGTCTGGATGAACTGCCCCTTAGAGCCTGTGTCCTCCCAAAGCCCCTGTTGCCTCGCAAGCTCTAGAGGCTTTGAAAGCCTGTGCCCTGCCCTTCCCACGCCCCAAAGCCACTAGAGCTTGGGGCACTGCACTGCTCACTCAGCGTGGTTTGAGACGTCTCAAAACAGAGCTTGGGGCACTGCACTGCTTACTCAGCGTGGTTTGAGACGTCTCAAAACAGAGCTTGGGGCACTGCACTGCTCACTCAGCGTGGTTTGAGACGTCTCAAAACAGAGCTTGGGGCACTGCACTGCTTACTCAGCGTGGTTTGAGACGTCTCAAAACAGAGCTTGGGGCACTGCACTGCTTTCTCAGCGTGTTTTGAGACGTCTCAAAACAGAGCTTGGGGCACTGCACTGCTCACTCAGCACCATTTGATCTGCTCACCGTCGTCTGAGTCTCTACTGTCACCCCATTTCCACCAATCCACACACACACACCCTCTCCCACCCTCTTCACCCCCCTTCTTTTAACTCCTCCCACCCCCTGTCACCCCCTGTCACCCCCTGTCACCCCCTGTCACCCCCTCTTATCTGCACTCACCTGTTGCTGCCCCCACCCCCGCCCTCCTCCCCATCCATCCCGGCATCGTCCCCCTCATCCTCCTCCATCCGCTCCTCCTCCAACCTCCTTGCCTCCTCTTCGTCCCCCCTCTGTTCTGCCCCTACCTGCGACTATCCCAATCCCATGCCTCCCCAGTTTCATCCCATCTCCCCCACTCTTCCTCTCTCTCTGCCCTGCCTCACCTGTCACTGCCCCCAACCACTCATCTCTCCCCTCACCTGTCGCTGCCCCCATCGCCGCCCTCCTCCCCATCCATCCCAGCATCGTCCCCCTCATCCTCCTCCATCCGCTCCTCCTCCACCCTCCTCGCCTCCTCCTCTTCCTCCTCCCTCGCTGCTGCCTCCGCTACAGCAGCCCGCCTGTTGCTGACCGCCGTGGCGAAATGAAGAAGCAGAGCAATGAACAGAGCCTGGGGTGAAGGGGGGAGGAGGGGGAGAGAGAAAGGATGGGGAATCATGAGCCAAGGTGCTGCGTTGGACACAGCAGCCCGCCGATTGCTGACAGCTGAAGCAAAGTGCAGCAGCAGCACGATGCGTAGGGCATGGCGGGAGGAGGGGGAGGAGGGGGAGGAGGGGGAGGAGGGGGAGGAGGGGGAGGAGGGGGAGGAGGGGGAGGAGGGGGAGGAGGGGGAGGAGGGGGAGGAGGGGGAGGAGGGGGAGGAGGGGGAGGAGGGGGAGGAGGGGGAGGAGGGGGAGAAAGGCAAGGTGGGGGAGGATGGGGAGGTGGGAGCAACGAGCAACAGAGGAATGAGCAGCAAGAGATGAAGCAGCAAAACGGCAAACATGACACGGATGGAGAAAGAAGGGGGAGCAGCAGGTCTACACAAAACCCCTCTCCCCTCCCCCTCAACAGGTTCAATTCAGCCTAGGCACTGTACAGATGCCCCCTGCTTTCCCTCCCACCTATGCTTCCTGTCTCACCCAAACACCTCTCCACCCCTCTCCCCCCACCCAATACCCCTCTTCCCTCCAGCACCCCCTTTTCTCCGCTCTCCACTCACCTGCTCCTCCTCCTCGGCCTCTCGCCTCATATTCTCTTTGCCCTCCACTGCTGCCGCTGCCGCCTCCGCCTCCTCCTGTGCCTCGCTGCTGCTGCGCCCAATCAAGCTCACACACCACTACAGGACCCAACCCATCTCCACCGCTCTCCACTCACCTGCTCCTCCTCCTCTGCCTCTCGCCTCATCCTCTCTTTGCCCTCCACTGCTGCTGCTGCTGCCTCTGCCTCCTCCTGCGCCTTGCTGCTGCGGTGCTGAAGGGCAGAGAGTGGTAAAAAACGGGAGAGAGGGGTAGAAAGGGGAGAGAGAGCACGCGTGGGGACGGCAGAACAAGAGGTGTTGCTGCTGCTGCCTCCGCATCCTCCTGCGCCTTGCTGCTGCGGTGCTGAAGGGCAGAGAGGGGTAACAACGGGAGAGAGGGGTAGAAAGGGGAGCGAGAGCACGCGTGGGAACGGCAGAACAAGAGGTGCTGCTGCTGCTGCCTCCGCCTCCTCCTGTGACTTGCTGCTCCAATGCTGAATACAGGCAGTGAGAAGGGGAAACGAGGGGAGAGGGAATGTGGGGGACGTAGTGAAGGTAGCAGGAACGGGGGGGGGGGGGGGGAGTGAAGGTAGCAGGAACCGGGGGGGGGGGGGGGGGGGAGTGAAGGTAGCAGGAACAGGGGGGGGGGGGAGTGAGGGTTGCAGGAACGGGGGGAGAGAAGTAGTACGCAAATGGCAGAGCAGACAGAGGTGCAGCAGCTGCCTTTGCTGGCTCCCTCTGCTGTAAGCTAACGGGAATTGAGGCAGTGAGGAAAGGGGAAAGGGAGGGGACGGAGTGAAGGTAGCTGGAACTGAGGAGTGAGTATGGGAACGGCAGAGGAGACCAGGTGGTGCAGCTGCTGCCTTTGCCTGCTCCCGCACTATGCTGCTGCGGGGCTGAAGGGAATGAGATAGTGAGGAAAGGGGAACGGCGGGGTGAGAAGTGGAGCACTGCAATGCCCCCGGTGGACGAGCTTGACTTTTGAGTTGACTCAAAAGTCAACTCGAGAGAAGTGGAGCACTGCAATGCCCCCGGTGGGCGAGCCTGCAAGCTGGAGCACGGGAACGGCAGATCAAAAGGGGGTGCTGCCGCTATGAGGTGGTGCAGTGCAGCTGCTAAGTGCGGACAGGGAATAAGGAGGAACGTGTGTGGTGGCAGCAGCACAAGTGGTGAATGCCTGTGCACTGCCGTGTGACGTAAAAATGGTGCAGTTGCTGCTGCCTCTGCATGCTCCAGTGCTGTGCCGTGCCATGTGCACCTCTTGCGCTGCTGCTCCCACAGTCCCTATTCTTGCCCCACACTATACCACACCTTTTACAACCTACCCTTACCGCACCCCACACACCCCCACCTTGGCCCATTCATCTTTGGCTGCAGCCTGCGTTTTCGCCTCCGTTCCCTCAGCCTCCTCCACTGCCAACGTGGCAGCCTCCCATTCGCTGCGCGCCTTGCTGGCAGCTGCCGCTGCCACTGCCGACGCCCTCTCCAGCGCCGCCACCTCAGCGCTGACGTGGCGCAGGCGGTTGGTGGCTTTCGAGATGGCGGTGCGGAGGATCTGATTGGGCCGGGGGGGGGGGGGAGAAGGGAGAGGAAAAGGGGGGAAGGGGAAGAGGGGGGAAGAGGAAGAGGGGGGAAGGAAAAAAGGGGGGAAGGGGAAGAGGGGGGAAGGAAAAAAGGGGGGAAGGGGAAGAGGGGGGAAGGGGAAGGGGGGAGAAGGGAGAAGATTGCATGGAAGTTTTGACTGACGTTTGGCGGCCGTGGTTGGGGCGGTGTGGAAAATCTGCTTTGGACGAACAAGAGAAGGGGAAGGGGGGAACGGAGAAGAAGGGGGGGGAGAGAGGGGGGGATAATCGGAGAAAGGGAGGGTGAAGAGGGAAATAATGCACCTCAAAACATTTATCAGAGGAGGGGGGAGTTGATCAGAGGAGGGGGGAGTTGATCAGAGGAAGGGGGAGTTGATCAGAGGAGGGGGGAGTTGATTGAAGGTTAGAATTTGGGAGGAAACGTTGAAGGGGGACGGTGGAAGGAAAAGTTGGCATAAAGATTTGATTGGGAAAGGGGAGGATGGAGAGGGAAGGGGCAAGGGGCAACGGTGAAGGGGCGAAGACGAAGGGGGAAGAGGGAAGGGCGAAGGGCGAAGGGGGAAGGGGGAAGGGGGAAGGGGGAAGGGGGAAGGGAGAATGGGAAAGGGCCAAAGCAGCGTGGAACGGAGGAAGGAGGGGGGGGGGGAGGAAGAGATGAGGCAGCGAGTGTATGCGAGCAGGCACAGGAGTGGACTAGAGAGCAGGCAGCAGCAGTACTCACCTCTCAGATGCTCCCACATAATAATATACACACATTTGACGTCTCAGAGAGTGACAAAATTGTTCTGAGGCATATCAATCAAAGCACACATCTCCCACATGCTCTCCCGATCCACTCACCTCCCAGATCCGCTCAGACGTGTGGTAGAGCTCGTAGTGTGCAGACAGGAAGCACCACTCGAGCAGGGCAAGCGGTGAGATGAGGCGGAAGCCCAGGCAGCGATCCACCACCACTGCTGCCATCTGGGGCGCGTTGGCCCACACGGCCCATATGCTGTGCAGCAGCTGCACCTGCGAGGGCTGTTGGGAGGGTTGTGGAGAGAAAGTTGTGGAGAAGCGGGGAGGAGGAGGAAGGAGAACATGCAATGTTGTGGAGAACATTTTATATACACTCGTTAGGCCGCCTCCACTACTATTATCTGAGGGGCGTTGACCCGCACGGCCCATACGCTATGCAGCGGCTGCACCAGCGAGGGTTGGTGGGGGAACAGGTGGGTGCGTGGGGGGGAGGACTGCAGGGGTAGCGGGTATGGGGGCTGGGGTTGGATGCTCTCTAAGGCACTCCAGAAAAGACCCACCTGGACAGGCGCGAGCAGCTGCCATGACAGCTGCATGCATGCATGGCGCGAGCAGCTGCCATGACAGCCCGTATCTCTATGACTGCGTGGTAGCAACTGTATCTCTATGACTGCGTGGTAGCAACTGTATCTCTATGACTGCGTGGTAGCAACTGTATCTCTATGACTGCGTGGTAGCAACTGTATCTCTATGACTGCGTGGCAGCAACTGTATCTCTCTCACACAGTAGTAACTGCATGCGTGCGTGATGCTCTTCGACCCAAGAACCAGCAGCGTCTGGGCCACCAGTCAGTCAGTCAGCGCCCTGCCCCGTTTTCAAGGCGCCTAAGGAAAGTACGCCAGCCCAACCCACCGGGCGGGGTGCTTGCATTGCAACAGAGCCCACCTGATCAGGCGCCAGCAGTTGCAGCGCGAGTCCGTATCTCTCCAGCACAGTCAAAGCGTGCGTGATACTCTTGGACCCCAGCACCAGCAGCGTCTGTGCCACCACGTCCAGCGCCCTGCCCTTGTCCCCGCCCACCTTGCCCACGGCCTGCTCCTCCACCCACGCCGCCACCTCCTTGCCTGCCCGCTTCGTCCTCACCATCACTATCAGCTCTTCAGCCACCTCCACCGCTGCTGCATCCACCCCTCCCCATACTGCTGCACTGCCCCTTTCCCCCGTCTTTCCCCCCGTCCTTCCCCCCTTCCCCGCCCTCCCCCTCGCCCCCATCCTTCATGTCACGGTCCCCTTCTCCCTCCCCCGCCTTCTCCCCTCTTTCTTCTCCCCTTCCCCCGTGCCTTCCTTTCCCCCGCGCCCCTCCCCCTCCCCTTCCCCCTCTGCAGGCGCCAGCAGTCTCCCTGGCCCCGCGGCTCGGTTGCGCTTGAACTTGAAGACGGGCTCGGGCTTGGGGGGAAGAAGTTGCTCCATCTCCGTGCTTCCGAGGGACTGTGACGAGGGGACAGGAGGGGCGAAGAGCAGACAACAGAATGGAGAGCAGCACTTGATCGGTTGCACCAGCAGTCTCCCCGGCCCCGCAGCTCGGTTGCGCGTGAACTTGAACACGGGCTCAGGCTTGGGGGGCAGCAGCTGCTCCGTCTCTGCTGAGCCCAGGTACTGTCAAACGGGGAGCAGAAGGGGCAGAGAGCAGAGTGGTAGAGAGCAGAGGGGCAGAGAGCAGAAGGGCAGAGAGCAGAATGATAAAGAGTGGCACTTGCTCGATTGCGCCAGCAGGCTCCCCGACCACGCTGCTCGGTTGCGCTTGAACTTGAAGACAGGCTCAGGCTTGGGGGGCAGCAGCTGCTCCATCCCCGTGCTTCCGAGGGAGAGGGTGGGGGGTTTGGGAGAGGGTGGGGGGTTTGGGAGAGGGTGGGGGGTTTGGGAGAGGGTGGGGGGTTTGGGAGAGGGTGGGGGGTGAGGGGAGTGATGCAGTGGTTGTGGCCCATCTCGATGTGGCCCAGAGACTAGGACGAGAGGGAAGTTGGTAGTGGGGGGAAGGAAGGAGAGTGCTCACACCTCTTTCATCTTGTAACGATATGCTCGCACCTCTCTGATCACATCTTGTAACCACACATACCTCTCTGATCACATCTTGTAACCACACATACCTCTCTGATCTTGTCGTAGTAGGAGAGGCGGATCTCCCTCTCCAGCACCTCCGACACGGAAACTCTTTGAGTAGCTCACCTCACCTCACCTCACCTCACCTCACCTCACCTCACCTCACCTCACCCACCCACCTGACACCAGTGGGCTTACGCAAGAGAGAGCGCACACGCGACACCACCAACTCTTTGAGAGAGCGCACACGCGACACACCGCGTTTTACCTCTTTCGCCCTCTCATTACACGATGGTTGGTACCTCTCTGATCTTGTCGAAGTAGGAGAGGCGGATCTCCCTCTCCAGCACCTCAGACACAAACACTCTCTGTGGGGCCCACTCCGGCTGCCGTGCCACTGCCGCCCACGCCGCCCACGGCCACACAAACGCAAAGTTGGACCTGGGCGGGCGGGCAGCACACAGGACAAAAACCAAAGAGAGTGCAGAGAGAAACGTGCCGAGGTGGATGCTTCAGTTCAGGTTGACTCGAATTGACTTGACTTGACTTGACTTTCAAAGTTACGAGTTCCAAGGAGTTATAACAGTGTGGCAAATACGCGCTTGAGGCCAGATTGGAGGACCAATGAGAGACAGACACGTGGAGAAGGACTCACAGGTGATGGGCCAACCACTGGATGACACGTGTCCTGCACTCCACGTCCATGATCGCCGCCCGGGAGAAGAGAGCCCTCACTGCCCCTGCCAGCACCGCTGGGAAGGCGCCGGGGAGAGCCTGAGAGAGGGACCGCGGAATTGAGGACGGATGGGGGAAGGGAGCAGAGCGAAGAAGTTGTTGAGTCAGGGCTCTCATCCACAGAGAGAGGAAGGTGTAGCTATCTCTCTCTGTGGTGTGGATGAGAGCCCTGACTGCCCCTGCCAGCACTGCAAAGGAGACAAAGTGCCAGGGAGAGAGAGCTTGAGTGAGAGTTGAGAGTGGAGGAATGTTCAACGGATGGGGGAGTAACGCACCTTGTGGCAGAGTCAACAAGAAAGCTCACGGCTTGCAGCAATCTAACAGAGTGAATAGAGTCAACGCACCTAGCAGAGGTCAACGCACCTTGCAGAGGTCAACGCACCTTGCAGAGGTCAACGCACCTTGCAGAGGTCAACGAGGACTATTGTGTAGTAGATGGGACGGAAGGGCGGCCGGGGAAGCAGCAGCAACTGGACAAGGAAAGATGGCAAGGGGGGGACACGGGGAAGTGAGAGGAATGAAGTGGGGGACAGACAGACAGAAGCAGAGAGGCTGACGGATATATGAAGAGAAGCAGAGAGGCTGACGGATATATAGGTGTGTTTGTGTGCTAGCTAGCACTTGGATGGGAAATTGTGACTTTTGAGTCAACTCAAAAATCTGTGCGAGCACTTGGATGAGAAAATGTCCGTGATTCACATGGAGATGCTTCAGTGGATTGAACCTGGATGGCAACATGCCTTTGTGATTTTCACCTGATAGGAAAAACGTCTCTGTTGTTTTCACCTGGGAAAAGACGGTTTCTGCCATGACGTATTCGTAGCGGAAGGGCACAGGCAGGCCCACCAGGTAGCTCGCACACTCCTTGCGACTGGTGGGGGAGGGTGGCGGGGGTGGTGCGGGTGGCGGGAGTGGTGCGGGTGGCGAAGGGTAGCAGTAGCAGGCCTGCTGAGTAGCTCACACACTTCTTGCGACTTGTGTGGATGGTAGGGGCAGTGGAGGTGGTGGGGGCAAGCAACAAAGCAATGAGGCGAGATGAGATGAGATGAGGTAGCAGAGTAGCAGAACCATCAAGGCATCTTACAGCAATCACGGGGCACGCGGCCACTCACCCACAAACACCCACCCACAAGCACCCACCCACAAGCACCCACCCACAAACACCCACCCACAAACACCCACCCACAAGCACCCACCCACAAACACCCACCCACAAACACCCACCCACAAGCACCCACCCACAAACACCCACCCACAAACACCCACCCACAAGCACCCACCCACAAGCACCCACCCACAAACACCCACCCACAAGCACCCACCCACAAGCACCTACCCACAAGCACCCACCCACAAGCACCTACCCACAAGCACCCACCCACAAGCACCTACCCACAAACACCCACCCACAAGCACCCACCCACAAGCACCCACCTGCCGTTCATGTAGAAGAGCACGTCGAGGAGATACTCCTGCACCACAAAGCGGTCGATGGGTGACATCGTCTGATGGGGGGGAGAGGAAGAGGAGAGGGGCACATTAAACGGAAATGTTAGTGACATTCTTAAACGCTACAAGTTCGTCCCAACCTCTTACACCCGCCGATAGACAACCGTACCAGTCCAAAGGGGAATGATGAAAATTTGTGATGGCACATTACCGCAGAGTATAAGCGAGAGGAAAGGCGAAAAAGAAAGCTCACAGCGTCTGTCTTGGCTGGCGGAAACAGCTTCAGCCGGCCAATCCGGGGTGGGAACTGCTGCAGCGCCTCGAACCGCTGCCGGGCGGCGGCTCTTGTCTGCTTGTGCTCGTCGTCGCCCTCGTCCATTTCAGCATCGGCGTCGAGAGGGGCGGCAGCGGGGGGGCGGCGGCGGGGGAGTGAAGAGGCCAATGGGGTGGCGCATGGAGGAGGAGAGCCTTTCCTTGACTGCCACGTGGGGACGAGGGACTGCAAAAGGAGAAAGGGGGATGGGGGAGGGGGGAAAAGGAAAAGGAAAAGAGTAAGTGGAAGGGGGAATGGGAGAGAGTGAAGAGGGTGAGGGGGTGGCACATGGAGGACGAGAGCCTTTCCTATCTGCCACATGAGGGCGAGGGACTGTAGGAGTGGGAAAAAGAATAGGGGATGGGTTGGAATTGGGGAAGGAGAAATGGGGAAGGAGGGTGCAGTGCAGAGGCCGATGAGGTGATGCATGGACGAGGAGAGCCTGACTTTGACTGTCACGTGGGGACGAGGAGAGCCTGCCTTTGACTGTCACGTGGGGACGAGGCATTGGAAGCGTGGGAAAAGGAGAGGAGGGGGAAGGGAACGGGGGAAGGGGACTGCGAGAGAGGGAGAAGTGGAAGAGGGAAAGGGGAAGGGGACGAGGTAAGGAGCGAACAGACACAGTGGGGAAAATGACGACGGCGACGAGACTCAAACTTTAGGGAGGTGGACGAAAGGGGAACGAATTAGGAGGAAACGAGGGTGTGAAGGCGGAAAGGAGTAGAGGCATCTATGCGTGCCTGCCGCTACTTTTGAGAATTCTCAAAAGCATCTATGCGTGCCTGCCGCTACTTTTGAGAATTCTCAAAAGCATCTATGCGTGCCTGCCGCTACTGCATGCATGCAGGGTAACCGGCGAACTCACAATGGCCCTTTTTGTAAGAGCTTTACACAATGGCAGAGAGAAAACAGAGGCGCTTTGAGTTTGCCTACCACTCTCCGCCTTCCACGAATCTTCCTTGCATGCCTTGATGCGATCCCATAACTCCTCCAGATAGTCCTGAAAAGGAGAGAAGAGTGCCGCAGGCAGTGCAGAGAGCACAGGAGCAGCATGTGGAGCACAGGAGCAGCATGTGGAGCACAGGAGCAGCATGTGGAGCGTGGAAGGCACCACATGGTCAGCCGCATTGAAAAAGGGACATGTATAGGGAGGGAGAGAGACAGGTTCAGGGGCAGATTAAGGTTTCGGAGGGGAGGCAGGGGAAGAGGCGAGCAGTGGGGGGGAAGACGTGGCGTTCAAAAGGTATGATTTAAGAACCCTTCCTAGGAAGAACACGTGGTTCCTCTCCCTTCCCTTGAGCAGAATAACCCACCTGTGACGGCGTGGTGTCATTGGGCTGAGGCTCGAAGACTGCGAGTGCGGGGAAGATGAGGGGCGAGCGGGCTTCCATGTAACCCTGCACTGCTGCTAGCACACTGGCTAGCTCGTCCGAGTGTGACTGAGAAAGAGGGAAGAAGTGGATGAGGGCAGAAGTGGAGGGGGGAAGGAGTGGAGGGGGGGAGAAGTGGAGGGGGGGAGAAGTGGAGGGGGGGAGAAGTGGAGGAGGGTGAAGTGGAGGAGGGTGAAGTGGAGGAGGGTGAAGTGGAGGGTGGAAGAAGCGCATGAGAGGCGAAGTGGGGAGACAGGAGTCCATGCCTGGCAGGTGACAGGTGACAACATGAGATTAGATGATGACACCATGAGATTAGATGACGAGAATAGTGCGAAGCTGGAGGGAACAAGGATGGTGTAATATGAGGTCGTTATGCTGGTTGGGTAATCGAACAACCGAGCAAAAAAGAAAAACCGGGTTTTGAGACATTTGAAAACAAGAGATGCGGACACAAGCGCATGTGACACACGCACCTCCTGCCAGTCCTGAGCGGCAAAGGGGAGGCAGGCAAGCACACAAAAGACAAAGAAGTCCGCCCGCGGCTGCCAGTTTGGATTTCCGCCAGCTGTCGGGTCGAGGTGCGAGGTGGCGGTGTCGACCAGAAGAGACAAAACTTGCAACACCTCAGACTCTGGCACTACTGCCGACACAGACTGAGAGAGACGGGGGAGAGAGAATGGGAGAGAAAAGAGGAAAAGAGGGGAGAGACAGAAGAATGGAGGGAAAGGGCGAAACAGGAGAGGAGAGGGACAGGATAAGATGTTTGAGACAGGGAAGGGAGACAAAACTGGTACGAGGGAAGATGCAGATGGGCAGAGAGGGGCATCGCTTGCAGCAGGATGCCTGACTATGGTATGCTGTACTAGTAAGAGGTGAAAGAGGAGAAAAAAAGCAAAGAGGCATACCAGCAGTGAAAACAGTTGCGGCAAAAAAAAGGGGGACGGGGGTAAGGTGGGGTGGGGTGGGGTGGGGGGCCCGGGAGAAGGGAGCGGGGTGTGGTCATACATACCAGCAGGGCGAGCAGGCGTAGAAGAATGCGCATCTTGTTGCACTCTCCAGTTTCAAAGGCCGCCTGCATGAGGGCAGAGGAGCAGCACGGGGGAGAGAGGGGCGAGATGGGGGGAAAAAGGCGGGCACTCGCAATGCAGGTGGTAGGGGAGCGGACTGGCGGGGAACGGAATGACCAAAACAAAGCGTCGCGAGTACGCCACACACGCTGGATCGAGACGTATATGTTGTGTTGCTCTGGTTGACTTTTGAGTCGACTCAAAAGTCAAAGCGTCGCGAGTACGCCACACACACTGGATCGGGATGTGGTGTTGCTCTGAGATTTAACATACACGGGAAGAGGCAAGAGGGTTAGTGTGCAGAAAACACACACACCGCAAGGCACCACGCAGCACCGCACAGCACAAACAGCAAACTGCACACTCCGCGTACACTTATCACACATCACAACACATCATGCAGCACAGCACAGCACCAAGCACGCAGCACCACACAGCATCCCAAAGCACCGCACACAATCCACCCACCTGCAAGCCTGCCATCACGTGCTCCACCACAGACGCCCCAAACTCCTCATAGTCCACATTTAGCAGTGACACCTGGAGGTGGTGAGGGGGCGGGGGTGGGAAGACAGGGGGGAAAAAGGAAGGACAAAGGGGGAAACGAAGGAGAGAGAAGGAGGAAGGGGAGTGAGGGTCCACCACAGACGCCCCAAACTCCTCATAGTCCACATTTGGCAGTGACACCTGTGGGGGGGGTTGAGTGGGGGGAGAGTGGGAATGAATGGGCAAGGAAAAAGGGAGGGTCGCATTTAGGGAAGATATTCGAACGAAAAGCGGATGGAGGGAGAGGGGAGAGCGGGAAATGGAGGGATGCAGGATGTAGAAGGGGAAAGAGCACGCGAGGTTTTTCAAATCAGCAATGCGTGAGGAGGTGCACGCGTTGGTGGGCTTTTGAGATCAAGGGAGACAGAATGGCCCTCTTTGGAGAAGAGCTGAGGAGGAGAGGGAAGAGGAGAGCAGAGGGAAGAGGAGAGCAAGGAATCGAAGTGGAATGGAAGGACGAGTAGAGGGGGGGTGGGTGGGGAGAGGAGGGGGAGGAGTGGGAGGAGGGAGGAAAGAAGTTGAGGAGGGTAAGAGGAGAGGAGGTACCAGAGTGGTGTAGAACGGTGCCTTTTGCGGAAGGTCCTCTGCACACTGCATTAGGAGCTGCATTGGGGTGGGAGGCGCATGGGGTGGGGTGGGGCAGAGCATGGGGCGAGGATTAGTGCTGAGCAAACGAAACAGGTAATAAGGATGGAATGGGACTGGGATGGGATGCACAGCATGGGGCAGCCCATGGGACGCACAGCATGGGGCAGCCCATGGGACGCACAGCAGGACGTGGGAGTCACTACTGAGAATTCTCAAACGGGAGTGGAGAATTTCTGAGTGAGAGGGCAGGGGAGGGTGCGAACAGGGTTCTTGATTCGACAAGAAAACCGATGAACGGGATGAGTGCAGCTTTGAGTCGACTCAAAAGTCATTTCGGGTGGGAAGGGAACAACGGATGGCCAAACGGAAGGGATGTATGAAAACCAGCAGTTGTCACTTCTGGTTGCAAGGAAGATGCTGGTGAGGCATGACATGACATGGCATGGCATGGCATGGCATGGAGCAGAATATGATATGACATGACATGGCACAGCATATGATATGATATGACATGGCATGGCACAGCATATGATATGTGGCATGGCGCAGCATATGATATGACATGGCACAGCATATGATATGACATGACATGAGATGGCACAGCATATGATATGGCATGGCATGGCACAGCATATGATATGATATGGCGTGGCATAGCGCAGCATATGATATGACATGGCACAGCATATGATATGACATGACATGACATGGCACAGCATATGATATGGCATGGCATGGAACAGCATATGATATGACATGACATGGCACCGCATATGATATGACATGGCATGGCACAGCATATGATATGACATGACATGGCACAGCATATGATATGAAATGACAAGGCACAGCAAATGATATGATATGACATGGCATGGCACAGCATATGATATGACATGACATGGCACAGCATATGATATGAAATGACAAGGCACAGCATATGATATGATATGACATGGCATGGCACAGCATATGATATGATATGACATGGCATGGCACAGCATATGATATGATATGACATGGCATGGCACAGCAAATGACATGGCATGTACAAACGCTGGAATGAAAGTGCTCATCTCAACTAGCATCGTATGTCTCACCGGCAGCAGTTCGCCCTTGAGCGCGTCGAAGTTGCGGCTGACCACCGTCAGGCACAGGTCCTGGTGGTGCCGTGGAGGAGGGTGAGGGGACAGACAGGGGAAGGGAAAGGGAGTGGATGGGGAGAAGGGGAGTGAGAATGTGATGGTGACAGACAGCTCGCCCTTGAGCGCGTCCAAGTTGCGACTGACCGCTGTCAGACATAGGTCCTGGTGGTGTGTTGGAGAAGGATCGGAGGGACGGGAGAGGGACGGGAGGGACGGGAGGGACGGGAAGGATGGGAGGGACGGGACGGAGGGGACGGAGGGGGCGGAGGGGGCGGAGGAAAGGGAGAAAGGGGGGGGGGGGAGTAAACCCCGTTATAGCCTTCCCGTCGGCTGTCGAATTCAAATCACATGCTATTCTCACTATCCTAAACGCTCCTCTCCACCCCTTCTCCCTCCCAATACCCCTCCCAAATCCCCTTTCATCCCCACCCTTCTCCCTTCCCGATCCCTCCCTCCGAATCCCCTCCCCTCCACCCCTTCTTCCTCCCAACCCCCCCTCCGAATCCCCTCCCCTCCCACCCCTTCTTCCTCCCAACCCCCCCCTCCAAATCCCCTCCCCTCCCACCCCTTCTTCCTCCCAACCCCCCTCCAAATCCCCTCCCCTCCCACCCCTTCTTCCTCCCAACCCCCCCTCCAAATCCCCTCCCCTCCCCTCCCACCCCTTCTTCCACCCCCCAACCCTACCATCGGTTGAGAAGGGTGCATGCGCCAATCGAACGCCCCCCCCACCATCCCCATCTGTTAAGGGTAACACATCCCTCATCCCCACCCCCCCTCATCATCCCCCCTCCCGCAAGACATACCATCTATTCACACATCCCCCAGCCGTACCATCTGCTCGATGGGGTCCATGCGCCCATCACTCCCCTCAACCCCACCCCCTACTTCCTCTCCCCACCCCCTACTTCCTCTCCCCACCCCCTCTCTTGCCCCCCAGCCGTACCATCTGCTCAATGGGGTCCATGCGCCCATCAAACTCCATGCACCTCTCCCCCAGACGCAGCACCAGCACGCGCCAGCTGCCAGCCGTCATGCAATGCCATGCCATGACATGCCATGCCAAACCGTGGGTCGACACGCGTAAGACAGACGGGAAGCAGAGACAAGAGAAACGGGGAAGGGGGAACGGGGAACGGGGAGTGGGTGCAAAACAGGAAGGGCGGAGGGCATGGAAGGACGATGGACGAAAGAAAGGCCGAGAGGGGAGAGGGGGCGAGGTGATGCGAATGAGAGAATCAACAGGAGCTTATAAACAGGCTCACATGCCACAGGCAGGCAGGCAGGCAGGCAGGCAGGCAGGCAGAGCCCAACTAGTGAACCACCTGACCTAAGCCGACCTCCAGCGTCCCCTGGATCACCCACCCCACCCCACCCCACAGCACCCCACCCACTCACCTTGAGCCGACCTCGAATGCCGCTTCATCCTTGCGAAATGTGGGCCCACGGTTGTCTGGCAGGGGGGTGGGGAACGGTGGCGCGGGGAGGAGGGGAGAGGATGATGGATAAGGGAGGAGGGGAGCGGGGAGGGGAGGAGCGTAGAGGACTGGAGAGGAGAGGGGGGAGAAGGAGAGGAGAGGGAAGGCAAATGTGGAACAGCGAAGGCGCTTTACGGCGATTGAAATAAGTCCTTCTACAGCAGGGTTGGGCACCGGTAGCACATGCATGTACTGTAGCACGTAAAAAGCACAATCAATAACGATTCTAGAGCGAGACATCATATTGACGACAGAACGGCAGGAAGCACATGTCTGTCGCACAGCAACACAGTCGCTCGCCCAGCCTGTCGCACAGCAGGTCTGTTGCACAACGTGCCTGAGGTGACTCTCTGTCGCTTGTTGCTGCGATCGCTCTCTAGCGCCATTCCCTCGTCCCGGATCACTCTGCTCCCAGTCCGAGATTTCCTGTCCGAAGTTCCCTGCCGACTAACTTTGCCGGCCGCACTGATCAGATGCCGTCTCTAGACGGCTAACGGCTAAACGAGTAATGCGGTGGTATCGTGACAACCAGCTGTACTGCAGATGGTCGTTCGGCAGCTGATCCCAACACTGCGAAGATCCAATCAGATCAATCACCTATTCCTTCACTTAAGTAAGAATGAAACGGCAAACTCAGGCCGATTAAAAACACTAATGCATGATATCCCGAAATCTCAATATAAGATTTCAGGTTACCTGATCTTTTGCCTAGAAAGCTCTACGGAGCTGGTCAACATTGGTTCGAGAATTGTCGAACAGGAAAAATCGCTGACACCCCCAGTCCCTCCTTGGCGTGCGGCTCTTCGAGGCAAGGCACTGCTAGATCCGCTAACTCAAAAGTTCCGCGCAACGCGGAAGCTCCTAAGACCTGGCCGTGGGCTTTCAAACACGAACTGCACGACTGCTGCTAGTTACCTCTCCCCGCATTCACATGCAAGCTTTCCTCTTTTTGTGGCGAGACTGCAAGCTGCGTTACGCGAAGACTCGTTTGTGATAACTTGCAGAGTGAAAGGGTTTCTGGGTATGGCAGGGTGTATGCGTTATCTAACTTACAGTTAAGTCCAGGGTCTCAAGTGACCAAGTGCTTTGCAGTCGATGAAAAACGGGCCTGTCTGATTGGTTAACAAATTTGGGGCCATAGTTTTGACAAATCTAGCCTCTCCAAAGAGCCCACTTTTCGCCCAAGTGCTTTGCAGCTACACGGCCAACCCTTACATGAGACCCTGGTTTTAACATTGCTGCCATTATTTCACAATGCTTACACTTGAGCATAATGTTGGAATTTTACGCTTCAGCATACTGTTGGAATTTTACGCTAAAAGCACATTGTTGGAATTTTACTTTAGAAGTCTAAGGACATAATGCCAAGAACGTTGAGACGATGGCTAGCCTCCGCCATTGAAGAAACCTCAGGGGGCATAGCTGCACAGCTGACGGCCAGCTCTGCAAAGCTGCACACAAGAATGAAAGGGAGTGAGAGAGAGTGAGAGCCCTAAAGCAAACTGGAAAATGCTACAGAATCACAGGAAGGGAAGGTATAACAGAAGATGGGCAAATGCACATTCCAGTGCGCATGGAAGGCCATACCTTAACATGGTAGAGGGTGCGCGCTTCATTGCGAGGGACGGATCTGCTAAACTCAGCAGACGTGTGAGGTCCATGCACTCACATGCAGCCTTGACCTGCAGGCATGCATACATACATGATTTGTGGGGCATGAATGCACACAACACAACCGTGCATACAAATAGCACGCATGTATTGTTTTTCAATGGGCAAATAGCACGCATGTATTGTTTTTCAATGGGCAAATAGCACGCATGTATTGTAATGTATCCACAAGCTGCTGGCAAAGGCGCCAAGTGCTTGAAGAGCTACACCAGCAGGGCGTGTGTTTGTGAATGCATGCAAGTGCATGCATGTGCATACGAGACTGCATGCACATACATGCACATACTGATGCAGGGCTGATGCAAATGCACGTATGTGCCAGAGAGACATCTAAACGAGGACAAGGAATCACTGTTCACAGTATATGTGATATTTCCTTGGAAGATGGGTCACTGTGGGTCACTGTGGGTCACTGTGGGTCACTGTGGGTCACTGTGGGTCACTGTGGGTCACTGTGGGTCACTGTGGGTCACTGTGGGTCACTGTGGGTCACTGTGGGTCACTGTGGGTCACTGTGGGTCACTGTGGGTCACTGTGGGTCACTGTGGGTCACTGTGGGTCACTGTGGGTCACTGTGGGTCACTGTGGGTCACTGTGGGTCACTGTGGGTCACTGTGGGTCACTGTGGGTCACTGTGGGTCACTGTGGGTCACTGTGGGTCACTGTGGGTCACTGTGGGTCACTGTGGGTCACTGTGGGTCACTGTGGGTCACTGTGGGTCACTGTGGGTCACTGTGGGTCACTGTGGGTCACTGTGGGTCACTGTGGGTCACTGTGGGTCACTGTGGGTCACTGTGGGTCACTGTGGGTCACTGTGGGTCACTGTGGGTCACTGTGGGTCACTGTGGGTCACTGTGGGTCACTGTGGGTCACTGTGGGTCACTGTGGGTCACTGTGGGTCACTGTGGGTCACTGTGGGTCACTGTGGGTCACTGTGGGTCACTGTGGGTCACTGTGGGTCACTGTGGGTCACTGTGGGTCACTGTGGGTCACTGTGGGTCACTGTGGGTCACTGTGGGTCACTGTGGGTCACTGTGGGTCACTGTGGGTCACTGTGGGTCACTGTGGGTCACTGTGGGTCACTGTGGGTCACTGTGGGTCACTGTGGGTCACTGTGGGTCACTGTGGGTCACTGTGGGTCACTGTGGGTCACTGTGGGTCACTGTGGGTCACTGTGGGTCACTGTGGGTCACTGTGGGTCACTGTGGGTCACTGTGGGTCACTGTGGGTCACTGTGGGTCACTGTGGGTCACTGTGGGTCACTGTGGGTCACTGTGGGTCACTGTGGGTCACTGTGGGTCACTGTGGGTCACTGTGGGTCACTGTGGGTCACTGTGGGTCACTGTGGGTCACTGTGGGTCACTGTGGGTCACTGTGGGTCACTGTGGGTCACTGTGGGTCACTGTGGGTCACTGTGGGTCACTGTGGGTCACTGTGGGTCACTGTGGGTCACTGTGGGTCACTGTGGGTCACTGTGGGTCACTGTGGGTCACTGTGGGTCACTGTGGGTCACTGTGGGTCACTGTGGGTCACTGTGGGTCACTGTGGGTCACTGTGGGTCACTGTGGGTCACTGTGGGTCACTGTGGGTCACTGTGGGTCACTGTGGGTCACTGTGGGTCACTGTGGGTCACTGACCTCAGCTCTCATTACTCACCTCAGCCAGCAGCCGCTGTGCATTGGGCGAAAGGGCAGCAAAGGACGAGGCGGAAAGTGACGATGATGGTGTCGATGGGTGGAAGGGGTCACGGCCGGTGAACAGATGGAGGAGAATGAGACCAAAGCTGTGGATGTCTGATGCTATGCACGCTGCCATGTCAGCAGCCATGTCATCGAAAGAATCTCCATGCAATTCCCTGCGGGCATGGAGACAGCAAAGGGAGTCAAAGGATGAGAAGGCAATCCCCCCAAGCTATCCCCATCCCCTCTGCAAAATGCTTCTTCTGAACCTAACCCTGCTTTCCACCAGTCAATCCCTCTGTTTTCTCTCTGCATAGCCACCCACATGCCTCTCACCATCGCAGCTTCCCCCCATTCTCACCTGCGGTGCCCCAGCCTTCTCAGCCTGGCAGCAGCAAAGCCGCCGACACGCGGCTTGAGGTCCGCCCCAAACGCCACGTGGCGCGAGGAGAGAGCGCCATGTGGCAGTGGGGGATCGCACGAGTGGGCGAATGTGAGTGCTCGGGCTACCGACCGAGCCACTTGCACCCTTGCAGGCCAATCCAGTAGTGGGGGGGAGGAGGCTGGGGGGAGAGGGGGGAGAAGGTGCAAGAGTGAGTGAGGTGAGCTGTGGATGACTAGGGAATGGGGGATCGCACACGTCTTGAATGTGAGTGCTCGGGCTACCGACTGTGCCACCTACACCCTTGCGAGCTGAAGGGTGTTTTTGAGAATTCTCAAAAATGCCCTTCAGCATCATGGACTGTGCCACCTGCACCCTTGCGAGCCAGACCAATTACGTAGAGGGAGGGGAGAGGATGGTGGGTGCAAGAGGGGTGGTGGGAAAGAAAGGAGCTAGGAATGATGGGGAGTGAAAAATGCATGTGAATTACTCAGATGTGGGCGATTTGAACAAGTGGCCGAATGTGAGCGCCTGGGCTACTGACCGGGCCACCTGCACCCTTGCAGGCCAGTCGAGTAGAGGAGGGGATGATGCTGGGTGCAAGGGGGTGGTGGGGAAAGGGGGTGGTGGGGGCGAGGAACAGTGGGAATGGGAAAGTGCATGTGAGTGAAATACTAAGGCACGGGAGATTACATGAGTTGGCAGATTTGAGCGCTCGGGCTACCGACAAACCTTTGAGCCACTGGAGGAGAGTCCCCTGCGACATGTGGGTTGTGGCTACCAGACAAACGTTGCCGGCCAACAGCTTGTAGCCAAGAGTGTCGACGATGTGCGGGTTGGAGAGGTGGGAGAGCAGATGCATGTGCTGCGAGAGTAGGGCGGGGGAGAGCTGGGGCGGGGAACGAGTGGGAAGTGGTCGAGGGGAGATGGGAAAGGGGTTTTGAAAAACAGCAAGACGGTTTAGATAAGGAAAGGCGAAGAAAGTGAGCAAAGAGAAACAGAGAAAGATGCTTGCAATCAATCAGAGCTCCTTTCCTACTTCTGTCCCTCCCATCCCCAGCGCACCTGCTGATCCCCCCATCACCACTAGCCCATGCTCCTCCAAAATCTTACCTGCTGCCGTCCCCTTATCGCCACTTGCTCCACGTCCACAGTCTCCCCGGATGGCAGCACAGCTGTGCTCGTGGCAGTATGCCATCACCAGTGCTGCGACTGCAGTTGACTGCACACCTAGCCCAGTCCTGTAAACCACCTTACCTGCTGCCATCCCCTTATCACCACTCGCTCCACGTCCACAGTCTCTCCGGACGGCAGCACAGCTGTGCTCGTGGCAGTGGTGGCCGAGGCGTCGACTGCAGAAGGCTCACAGGGCAGCAGCACAGCAGTGCTGGTGGCAGTGGCAGTGGCAGTGGCTGCCACGGCTGATGACTGCAAGCCGAGCCCCACCTCCTCAACATGCATGCCTCGCTGCTTCTTCCTCATCTGCTCAGAATCAGCAAATGATAGGCCGCTGGCCTCAGCCGCACCCCTTGCCTCGGCCGCACCTCGTAGCTGCGCTGCTCCTCTTGACTTGACCTGGCCGCCTGAGATGCGTGCAGGTGGCTCAGCAGCAGCTAGCAAAGAGGCCAAGGATGGGTGCTGCTGCTGGCTCTGC